AAAAAATTAAAATTAAAACCTTTATCATCATCAGGTTTTTTTCAAAAAAAAAAAAACGATGATGATTATCAAAAAAAAAAAAAAATTTTTTTTGTAAAATGAGAAACAATCACACCATGACAACAACAAAACAAAAAACAAGTGATGACAATCACACAATGTATCAGAGATATTTTTTTCAAACATAGACACCTTTTTTTTCAACCACCACCATCCAGGATTCTCATTAAAGTAAGTATAATTATCAAACAGGGAGATAGATATCAATTGTGAAAACATCTAAAAAATGTTTGTCAATTAGTTAGGCAAACAAACAGAAACGATTATCTCTATGTGCTTTTTTTTCGATTTCCAACAAGACACAAAAAAAACACATAGAGATAGTTTTTTTTTTTGTTCCAATGTGGCAAAAAGGCGAAGGAAATGTCATATCCTGCAAAAAAGAGATTTTCTGCATAATTACAAAATTTGCAAATTACAAACATGATGATAAGTGAGAAAAGCGGTGATGAGCGACAAAAACAAAAGAAAAATTAAAACTTACATTATTTTGATCAAATCATTTGATTTTTTTTTTTCAAAAAAAAATCTTCATATTTTCAGCAAAAAAAATTTCTTTTTCGATTCGAATCGAATGCACAGACAAAACATTCGATGACCATTACATTCGAAATAATAGCACACATCACAAACGAAAAAAAAAAACATTCGATGATTAATATCGATTGAGTCCAGTCAGAGTTTCGATTGTTATTAAACCGAAACAAACAAACAAACAAACAAACAAAATTCAATTAACCTTTTGTGGTTTTGCTTGTGGCCAGTGTAATGAATGAAATCGTTGAATGAATCATACATACGGCGTCGTCGACAGGGTAACTATGGACAACAAACAAACAAACAAACAAAAAAACAGACCAACAATAAACATCGCAACAATGAAATGTGCGCCTTTTGAAAGGCGAATGAATTCTTTTTTTTTTGTTGTTTTTTTCTGAAAAGAATTGGGCGCACATGGAATTTCTATTGCCGCCCGATCAAAAGAAACAAAACAAAAATGAAGAAGCAACATGAGATTTTTTTTTGCTGTCTGTTGAACTTTTTACGTAATTGCATATTGCGTATTGAATATTCCATTGGTCTGAATGAATTCAGACTAAAACTTTATGTTATTCGAAATTTTTTTTCCTGTGTTCAAATGCATGCTTCTACTATTTTGGGGTATTCAGCCTATGCAGCATGCCGTTAGCATTAAACGTTACCGAAAAACAAAACAAATCATTATCCATTGAGACTTTAACATAAACGATGAAATATGATGATTCTTTTGGTTGTTTGGTTGTGTTGATGGTTAAATCTGATTATTTGGATGATCCTTGTTTGGTTGTTTGTTGGTTGGTTGGATGATCGGCTATTTTTGTTCCATCTTCGAACTTTGGTAGATTCTTCTTTTAGATTCGTATCTTTGAGTGGGTGGGTTTGGATGTTTATCAATGTTTTTCGTTTGTTTTGTTTCGTTTTGTTTGTTTGATGAGTGCCAAAATCAAAAAATTTTTGCTTTTTATAAAAGAATTTCATTCATTACATTCATTGCCTGTGCTTCAATATACACTTTTGATGACATGACAAATTGAATGTGAATCTTTTTTTCCCCTAAATGTTTGTTATAATTTACTCATCATCATAATGAATCGTAAAAATAAATCTAGCCATGATGATGATGATGATGAACAACAACCAAAACAACAACATGATTCCGATGATAATCTATTTATCGATTTACCTGTCAATCAATATCAAACATCTGCATCATTCGTTATGATTTTTAATCAAAATATACCTTTGGAAACAAAAAAATGGTTAATATCATTATTAAAATCGAATCAATTACAATTATCGATTATTAACGATAGTAACAATCGATATATTCGTTCATCATCATCAACAACTCGAATACCGGAAGATTTAACATTATTAATTAGCTGTTCGGAAAAATTATTCGAACAAAATGTTCATCATGTTTTTAAACAATTAAAACGTCAAAATTTAATGACAGATAAATCATTGGATTCAACAAAAACATCGACCGAATTGAATACAGCCGAAAAACAACGTATTCTTTATCAATTAATTCAACAAATTTGTTCACCAAATCGTACAACTATTATTGGCCTTCCGGATATTACACTTTATCCTGGGCAATCAATATTTGAAATTTGTTGTCATCATAAGCTGATAACACATTATTTTCCATTACATGATTATGAACATTTAGAAAATTTACGTTCAAATTATTGTTCATTTTTCAGTCATAATATCGGTAAATATTGATAAATAATTGAAAATATTTTCCAATATTCAATTCTTCGTTTTTGTTTTTCCTTTTTTTCACAGATTATGTTCGTGATTATTTTGGTGAAATGATTGGATTTTATTTTGCTTTTCTTAACTATTATCGTGATATGTTTTGTTGGACAAGTATTGTCTTTTTATTATGTTGGTCATTACAAATTCCAAATGAATTATATACAATAATTATTTGTTTTGGTTCATTTGTTTTTATAAAAATGTGGAAACGTTTTGCAAAACGATTAGCATTCGAATGGGGTACAATTGATCATATTGAATTGGAAAAAGCACGGCCAGCATTTCGTAGTAAATGTATGAAAATTGATCCAATTACTGAAGAAATGGTACCATATTATCCATTAACAAAAACCTGGTGTAAAGAATATTTTATATCCGTACCATTTGTTATTGTTTGTTTATGTTTATCATTTGAATTAATGTGCATGTATTTTGATTGTGAAACATGGATGGCCAATTATTATGAAGAAAATCCATCAATATTGAATTTTATTATATGTTTCGCACCAAGTATCATTTATGCAATAATTGTTATGTTTATGAATCATTTATATATTGTTATTGCAACCAAATTGAACAATTATGGTAAGTTTTTTATATTTGAAACATTAAAATTTTCATTTGAAAAACAATTTATCATAGAAAATCATAAAACACAAGAATCACATGAAAATCATTTGATTGTCAAATTGGTTTTGGTAAGTTTTTTTTTGCTCTAATTTTTTTTTTTGTGAAAATTAATTTTAACAAATTCTGTTTCAAAGTTTGAATTTTTCAACAATTTTATCTGTCTTTTTTATATTGCATTTTATTTAAACGATATGGACATGTTAAGATATGTAAGTTTTCTGTTTGTTTGTTTTTTGTTTCAATTTTTAATCATTTTCAATTGAAATAATCCACAATAGACCTTAATAACAATGTTGACCGTAAACAAGACGGTGGAAAATTTTCTCGAAGTATTTATACCCATGTTTTTGATCTATCGTAATGAACCGAAAAAATTATTTCAATCATCAAATAAATCAACAATCACATCGTGGCAGCAACAGATTTTTGATGAAAAAAATCTCTACATCTATGAAGTATATCAATTGAATCAGATTTGTTGGTACCATTATAATTTTCATCATTTTTGCTTTGATTTAGCACACTTATTATGATTGTTTGGAATTATTCATCCAATATGGTTATGCATTTTTATTCGTATCAATTTGGCCATGGGCACCAATTGTTGCTGCAATCAACAGTATAATGGAAGTTCGTATGGATGCTGCTAAATTAGTCTATTGTAAACGACGTCCATTTCAAAAAACAATGAAATCAATCAATAATGCATGGATTGTAAGTGTATTTCAAGCAAAAAATGAACTTTATTTCAAATAACTTTTTTTTCATTATTTACAGAAATCATTTGAAGTTCTTTCCATTATAATTGTAATTTCAAATTTTCTAACACTGGAATTAATATCCAATAATGTTCGATTGTTAAGTTTATATTTTAATCTTTCAACATTTAAACTTATTGTTTATGCTGAAGTAAGTAAATATTTTTGGATGGATGATGATAATGATCTTTTTCTGTTTCCCACATTTTATTATAGCACATTTTTCTTACAATCGTATTAATATTCTGGTATGTTGTACCGGATATTCCACGTGATATACATCATCGTTTGAATCGACGAAAATATCTTCAATTTACAAATCAAGATGATAAAAAATTTCAATAATTCTATCTATCTTGCATTCTATCTAGTTAGTTAGTTAGTGATAATCATATCATCTTTTTGATCTTGTTGTTGTTGTTGTTGTTGGTTGTGATTATTTTCACGAAATCCTTTTGCAAATGGATTACTAGCTATTTTTAATTGTGTTATCTAAATGAAAAAAAAAATGTTTTTTATTATTTTTTAAAAAATTAATTTTTTGTTGCAATAAATCAATAGTTACCCTATGATTTTGATAGGCAGTAACAGCAAAAAATTTTGTCTCATTCAAGATAAATGTACGAAAATTTCTTCTATGATGATGATGATGATGATATGATTGATGTTCATTTGTTGTAGTTGTTGTTGTTGGTTCACAACATATCACATGAAAACGTGGTTGATATCGATGCATCGAATTTAAAATTATCTGTGTGTGGTGAATGAAAATCGATTTAGATCATCATGATTTATTATTTGTGAAAACTTACATGACCATTATCATCCAAAGGATTATTTGTTAATTTAAGACGATCAAATGATATTGTTTGACGCATCCAATATGATCCCTTAGCTGGTGAATCCTGGTGAACATGAATTCTTGGTGGTCCACTCAAATCAGCTTGACCGGTAATCATCCAACTTGAACTGTGTTTTTTTGGGATAATGATAATCTTTATGTGAGAAATGTAATCATTAAAACAGAACAACTTACTTATGAAATACATAACGATAACGTTTATCATCGGCAAGAATAAAATCCATCATTAAAATATAATCAACATCCATATTCATTCCTTTCAAACGAATTTGAAATGTTGGAAATGGACGTCGGCCAGCTTTTGTAACGATCATTTCATTACCTAATTCATTAAATTCATGCCATAAACATTTGGATTCTAATGACAGTTTGATTGTAGAAAGTTTCCATTGATCATTATCGTTATTATCACCATTATTCCACCATGAATCACAATTATCAATCGAATTTGATTCCATTCATTCAGTCAAATAAGACGATGATCATCGACAGAATCGAATGCGGAACATAAATGAACCATCAACCAACCAACAAACATTTTAATGTAAATCAAAATGTATCGAATGAGATGGATGGATCAATTTGCTGGCGACGTCAATCAATTTTCGATTTCATAAACAAAAAACAAAAAATCTTTTCCCGAAACGAGACACCAAATCAAAATCAAATCGAGAACAACAACAAAAAAACATAGATTGATTGACTTTACCCAAATTGAATGGAAAATCTATCTATTGTGATGATCTGAAGAAAACAACACACCAGGAACAGCAAACAAACAAACATTATTGATTTTCATTTAACCCGTATTGTGATCATCATCAAACAATTCTGGATTTAATCAAATGAAGAAAAGAAAAAAAATCAAACTGAAAATTCTAAGTGCTGCTTTTTCATATAATCTAAAAATGGAATCATTTCTTTCTCGCAATTTGATTCAATGAAAAATCTTTTTTATTTTATTTTGGTCAAAATGCAAAGAAAGAAATAAGATTTTCTGAATATAAAAATGAAAAATTTTGTTTTGTTGTTTGATCAATTTGAATCCGAATTTGATAATGATTCAGCCATATGATAATGTTGTCGACGTATCGATGCTAAACGTACACGTTCTTTTTCCAATGCATTTTCCAATTCCAATACTTTTACTTGACATTCCATTTCTAAACGTTTAGCTTGATGTAAAGATAATTTCGATATATCTGTTTCAACTAATCAACAAAAAAAATGTTTATATAGATCATATGAACTGACTAACTATAAATCTATAACTTACCATTTTCTTCAATCAATTTGCTACAATGTTTAGTAATGGCAATAATATTACCAGTTTCTTTAAGTACAGATTTCGATGATTTCGATAGATTGGATAAATTTTGACTTGATGCTTCAGCTTTTACTCTGGATGCAACAACTAATTGTGCACATGATGCAGCAATTTCTTGTGATGCAGCCATTAATGCTTCAAATTTACCAGAACCACTAATGATTTTATCGGCTGTTTCACTAAATAAATAAAATTCATTCATTGAAAAAAAAACAAAGTAAGTAAATCACCATAAATGAATCAGAGAATAATACTTACACAAGAAGATTTGCATCAGCAGCAACTGTTTTAGCTGCCGATATTAATCCTTCAGTCCAACGATGATTACGTTGATAGAATTCTTTGATGGAAAAATTTCCTTTCTGTTTCGATGCAATTTCCAATTGTAAACGTTTTGAATCAAGAATCAATTGTCTAATGGCTTGCATCAATGCTGTACAGGCAGTCAGAATTTTACCATTAACTTCTAATTTTAAACCAGTTTGTTGAACATTTGATTCCGTTAACATTTGTTCGATTTTTGAAACAGCCAATTGAATTGCTTGATCCATTTCGGTCATTTCTTTATTGAGCAATGATTCTAGATCTAAATTTTTCTGATTAATAGCCAATTCGGGTAATACTTTCAATGTTAATTCATAAATTTTTTGTAAACATTGTCGAATTTTTTCAATACCATCATTAGTGTTATGGAAATTATTTAAAATTGTTTGAACAAATTCATTATTCAATTGAACAAGATGAACACAATTTTCGGATAATTCATTTGAAAGATCAATATTAGATAAACTACGTATAGTTGTTTTTGAACAATTTATCATATAAAATAATTGATAATAATAATGGAATGCCATTTGAAATAAATTAATTGAATAAGATTTTGATTGAATTGAATGTTCATAATCACCAAATCTTGTGATTAATATCTGTATTTGTGTTGAAAAATATTGTGGACTACAATTTACCGATAACAATCCAAGATCCATTTCTTCATCAATTAATCTTTCAGATATTTTTGTTGATTCATTTAAAAGTGTAGCTTTTTTTAGAAAAAAAAGTGAATTTTTTTTAGTATTTTTCAAAATCAAAACCCCAAAAAAACATACCGATAAATTTTTTATTAATCTCATCAACATAATTTGAATGTTCAAGTTTTTGTTTAGTCAATTCCTGGTTAGTTTGATCAAATTTAGCCATCATTGATTGATAACGATTATCAATATCATTTTTTTCTATTTTCAATGTTTCAAATTCTTTAGCAATTTTTTCATATTGTTGTTGTACAAATGATAATTGTCCTTTTAATTCATTATTTAATTGAACAAATGAATCCATTTGTACATCTTTATGGCAATTTTCATCCAATTGCTTTGATAGGGTCTATTTAGCAATTACAAAAAAAAACACTTAGGAATTCCAGAAACAAAAACAAAAAATGCAGAAAATGTTTACCTCATTTTCTTTTTTCAATTGTTCCAATGATCTTAATGTTACGGCTAATTGTCTATCATTTTCAGCTTTCTATATTTCAATCAGAAAATAATCGATCAATTCCAAATCAAAATCAATCAATCAATCAATCAATTACCGCTTTCAATAATTCAATATGTTCGGCACGAAATTTATTATAAAATTCTTTCATTTTGGTAAATTTTGTTGCCTGTTCTTCAACAACACTAGATTTTTGCCGTTCCATTTCCATTTTCAATTGTTCAACTTCACGTTCCATTCTTTGTGCTGCAGCACATTCTAATTCAGCAATTTGTCGTTTATAATCTTCGATACGTTTTTCTAATTCAAATTTATTCTGCTGTAATTCTATTTCTAATTCACCGATTCTATTACTAAATCTTTCAATGATACGATCTCTACACAAGGATAGACAAAAAAATCAATTCAAATCAATTCCACCTACTAAATGATGGTTTTTCACATACTTTTCTTCAATTAAACTGCGTTCTTCCACAATAACTTTGTTCGATTCATCATCCTGAAATGACCAACCCGCTATTGCATCATTAACTTTATCCGAATCAGTCTTTTCAAATTAAAAAAAAATTTTCAATGTTTTCATCATCATTTACAAAGTAAACAACCCAAAACTTACATCAAATGTTAGATCCAATAAATTATCTTCATTTGTTTCACCATCATCTTGTTGTTGTTCCGGTATAACAACTATCGGTGTAACATGGCTATTAAGATTTGATTGAACAAAAAAATTTGGTGGTTCCTATAAATAAATAAACCGAATGAATGATAACTATTTCAACGAAAACGTTTTCAACAACATTTTACCTCTGGTAATTTAGGAATAGTAATTAGATGTTGAAAATATTGTAAACGACTGTAATTGGAATAAAATGTTTTCAATCTAAAAATTGGATAAAACGATGATTAGTATGATTCCAAAAAAAAGTCGGCTCAACGTTATTAATTACAATTTAAATTGATTAAGAAATCTTTCTCTATGTCCTTCCAATGTTGAATGTGGCAATGCTAAATGAAAAAAACAAAATTAATGAAAAATGGTCAAGAAAAAAGACAATGAAGATAATAATACCTTTATGAAGTTTAAATAAAATTTTTACTGTAAAATCATACAGTTGACTTGAATCCTGTATACACATAATTATCGGTGCAATACGACATTGACCAGTACTTGTCATCGATGAAGAATAGCTTGTATCAAGTGAAAGATATACTATTCGAGAAAAAAAAAACGTTCGAACGGCTCAAAAAAGATGGAAATTATCATGATCGAATACTAACCATTATTTTGTAGGCAAAGAATTTCATCCATATAATCATAAATTTCGCAACATAATTGAAAGCTAAAAGAATTCCATCCATAAGAATCAAAACGAAAAAAAAATTTTTGCAAAACTTACAAAATGTTGACATCATTTTCACCGATACGATCAAGATCACCATCAGTGATTATCAGATTGCCAGGAAAACGTGGATTCTATATTTTGAACAAGAAAAATTATTTATCAATAACGAAAATTATCATCAAAAAAACAAAAACTTACACGAATATGAAAATCAATTTTATTGACTAGTAATGAACAATAGCTATGTATAAGTTTACCATAACCTTGTTTTAATAGGCCCCACATTTTACATAATTCCAATAACCATTGACGATAACGATATGAATCGGGTATAACTTTTGGATGTCCATCACGTAATACTTTATGTAAAACATGACAAAATTTCCAACAAACAATTTGATGTGCATCTAATGGTAATCGGCGGGCATATGACCAAAAAATTTGTCCAGATTTCGTTATGAATGTTCCGATAACAATTCCTTAATTGGCCAGAATGGGAAAAAAAGTGGAATGAATTAATCGAATGAATTTTCAAAAATGAAATAATTACTTCGAATGTGTTTTTCTTTCACCGGGCATTCTGTAGGATTGATAGCTTTTCGAACGCTGGTAAACTATGTAAAATATATGATTTTAGGATTATAAATCAAAACAAAAACAAAGAACATTGATTGATTGATTGATTTGAAAAACTTACGAAACTTTTTTCAAAATTATCTCTATTTACATCCAGACTTGTTCGTGGAAAAACAAGACGATCATGTAGATTCATGTTGTTGTTGTTGTGTTGTTATTGTCATCATATAATTGTTGTCGTCATCAACATTTATTATCGATGTTTATTAGAAAAACATCATCATTGTTTTTATCACAATCAAATAAGATTTTGGTTTAAAAACAACATCATCATCATAGCAATAAAAACATATTTGTCACTCTGTTGTAGAGAGAGAGAGAGAAAGGAAAACGCACATTGAGAAGAAAAAAAACATTAAAAAATTTTGACAAAAACTTTGTTTTCAATGGCTGCTGCTAAGTTAAAAATCGATGAGAGAGTGAGAGATGGGCGGCCATCTCCACAATATCTGCAGTAACAAAAAATTTGTTTTGTATTTTTTGGGTGAAAATGAGAGAGAAAGAGAGAGAGAGAATTGAAGAGAAAGCAAGAATGAGACTTGCTCTGTCATTTCAAATCAAATGTGCAAGATTTGCTCCAAATTTTATTTGCTATTTTTTTTTTTTTGTTATTGTTGTTGAAATGAATCATCATCATCGACGATAAAAATCAATCGATCGATATCGATATCGAATTGATTCATGTGGAAAAATATTTTTTTATATTGGATTTTTAGGATGAGAAAAAACAAACAAAAATCCAGAAAAAAAGGGTTAAATATAGCTAATTTGTAATGCGCATATTCGATTCGAATCGATGATATTCGTATTCGAATTCGAAACAATCATTTTTCAAAATAGTGAATCAAAAATAGATCGAGGATACAAGTCAAAAAAAAATGATAATTACCATTAGCTATAATCGGATTGATTGAGAGAAAAAAAAAGAGGACACAAAGCATTGTTGGTTGTCATGGAATAATAATAAAAAATTATCATCGGATCAAATTAATTTTACCACGACGATAATCACCGATTAACGATGAACGATAACAAGGTTATAGGAATAATAAAATAAAATTGCTGAGTAATTTAATAACGATAATAACATTTTTTTAATTATTAATTAAAATATTGATTTCAAATTAAATTGACAAACAAACAAACAAACGACAAACAAATAAGCAAACAACAAACAATAAATTTGAAAAAAAAATTTGAAAAAATTGAAATTTTTTTTTATACAAAACAATCGATATGATGGGCGAATGAGCAAACTTAGCAACTTAACCCTTAACCAATCCACAAATCTAATATGGAATTTGATTTTGATAATATTGTATCATATCATATGTACGTGTACGAAGATTCAAAAATGAATCACGTATAATTTGTAACATATATGTTGCAGCATCTTTATCATTATATTCTGGGCAAAATCTTGTTGTTAGTTGTTTAACTGTTTGACCACGAAAACAAGGTAGACCAGTATCTAACATCAGCGAAACTAATGTTATAATTGATTCACGATATGGACGTATTGCAAGATATGCTTGAACACAAAGTATTTCAAACCATTGAAATGCTGGTGCATCAATTTTACCGCCCATTACTTGTACCATTTCATCGGTTAATTTAATATCCGGTTCGAAACCAAGATTTCCTCCCGGTGAACTTTCGAACATAAAACCAAAATCTTGATTGAAAGAAAAACAAAACAGAAAAATGATAAGGTAATGATTTTTGGCTAAAGATAAAAGCCTTACCAATATGAATAATATGACCATCTTCATCAATCATAATATTACCATTATGACGATCTTTTATTTGCAACAGGAAACCAACAACACTATATGCAGCCATACTTTTAACAAAATTTGCACGTGCTTTTTGAAAACGGCCCGAAGATTCATCACCATAAATGGTAAGAAAATAATCATAAAGTGATATATCAGTTTTACGACCTAATTGATCACGTGATTTGGCATTTGGAACACATTCGATTACGCCACACTATTGTAAAAAAAACATAAAGGGTTAATGAACGGAATTTGATTTCAAAAAATCAAAAACAATGAAAAACTTACACCAGGAGCAGTGGCAACAACCCGATATGGATAAAGGAAAAGATCCAGACCAACTTTTTTGAATACATTTTTAAACAATTTAATAATCTGTAATGCAAGCATATCTTGACGAACATCATCACCAACTTTAAATATAGCTGCTTCCCACATTTCCGGACCCATCGAACGAATATATTGATCATCTTGATTATCTTCACTCATTGCTAATGTTTCTAATTGATCTTGACCACAATAAATAATTTTAAATCTAGCTAAAAATGGTGCTTTAGCTGCACTTTGCAATGGTACACCTGTTAATCGATCAATATCAATAACTAATGCTTCAGGTTTTGATGGTAGATAACATCCTAGTTGAACATCAATTTTCGACAAACAACGTAACAGAGCATTTTTTCGTTCTTCACCTTTTGGATATGGTCGTATTTCACCGGAAATATTCGTTACTTTACTGAAAAAATCAAATTCTTTTTCATAGAATTTTTTTGCCGGTCCTGATAATGAATTTACAATCGTTTGTATAATCATTTCATATTGATCATAAACATCCAAATCTCTTATTTGACTTTCTTCATCTTTAAACATATTTGTTTGCATATTCCATATAAATTGATGTGCTAATAATTGTGATATTTTTGCAATTGATTTTATAAATTCAGTTATATAGCCAATCTGTTCGGGAAAAAATAATTGCAATAAAAAACAATATCGAAATATGGAAAAAAACTTACAGCATCATAACGAACAGCCTGTAATAATTGTGGTATAAACAACATAATAACATCTGGTTTGGTTTGAAATAAATTCCTAATGGCAAATTGTACCGTTATTGGATGATTAGGATATTTTCTTGAAAAAAATGATAATGCTTTTATCGGTGTTATTGGTGCCCATGTTAGCATATAATTAAGCTAAATATTGGATGAATGAAAGTTATTAATCACCATTATTTAACCCTTCATTTACTTACCTCTAATCTTTCATTTAGTATCATATCACTTGTAACTAAATAATCTAATGCTTCAGGTATATGACAAACAGCCATTGGATATATTTGTACTAAACGTGAAATTTCCTGTACAATTTCATTATTTTTAAATCTTGCTGGTAAAAATACAGCTAATGATGGTGAAATATTCCATGCTAGTCTTACTAAATCCCGTAAATTTCTTTCATTCATTGGTTGATTAAACCATTTCAATACACTTTCTTCACCTGGTATCGATAGATCAGTTAAATTTAATGGATTATACCATGATATAAGGAATTCAATTTCAATTGCCAATAAACTTAACACTAGATTACGTTTACGGATATAATCTTTAAGAAAACAATCCAAATAACCATTATTTTGATCTTTATTTTTATATTGTGATCCACCTGTTCCACCACCTGCACCAGTTGTACCACCACCTTGTTTAAATGCTGATGAACGTTTTGATAATGTCGAAACATTACTTGATAATGGTACGGTATTTATCCAACCACCACCAGCACCTATACCACCACTAATACTACCACCAGTTGGTGTATAACGTGCTTGATTTAGATTTGTATCAATCGATAAACTACGTTGATCCAATGTTAAATGTAATTGATTTTGATTTGGTTGATAAATTTGTGAAATATTATCAATAGAAATTATATCCGGTAAATGAACTGATTTTAAATATTTACGATCAGCTTGTAATGATTGCCAAAATTTTATCAATGATAAAATATCATCACGTAATTCAGTGGATTTTTGTGATGGACATATTTGTGGTCCACAAAAATAATCAATCGCTGCTGAATAGATACGTTCACGTAGTACAAATTTACTAACGGAATTCAACAGTGTTTCACCTTGAACTAATGACAAACCACAATTTAACAGACGAAACCTAGTTCCGATGGTTGATATATTACGTGTTGAATAATAAATTCGACCAACACTAATATGTAATGAACGATGTAATAAATTAACAAATATTTCCACTTGATCCAGGGATGAATATTTTGCAATTTCAATACGTTCATTTAAAAATTTAACCCATTCAGCATGTGCACCTAAATATGGTGTATCTGGTTTTAAATCTTGATCATTATTTAATGATAATGGATCCAGGTTTAATGAATCTGGTGCAAATAAACCAATTTTCTTATCAAATGTTGCAACCCATGCTGTTGACATTTCTTTTGTAAACATTAATTCTAGATCAGAACGTGCTGATAATAACCATTTCCATGATGATATTATTGAATAAATTGTTTTATGTGAAAATAGGTAAACAGGTGCCCAACATAACAGGTGAAACAGATGAAGATCACAATCAGGTGAAAGAATTATCATTGCTGTTATACGATAAATACATTGTTCATGTAGATAAACATCATTTTCTGAACAACTTTGTTGAAAATCTTCAATCAATTTTTCAATAATTAATTTTTTCGATTGTTTCGATGATAATGATTTAATCATACCGGATATTTCACCTAAATAATATGTACGAATTGATGTTGTCGAAAGAAATTCTGAACATTTATTTCGAACGAAAAATGGTATTTTTCCGGATGGTACTGTTGTTGTTGTTGATGTTGTCATCGATGCTAAGGTAATTTTTTCATTTACTGCTGAACAATTTGCAATCGAATGAACAGCTAATGTAAGACCACTATGTTGACCAAAATCATCCAAAGCTGCACGTGAATTTGTCATATATTCTTGTAGATGTGATCGAGTTATGTTTGGTGCCCATTTTACTGCTTCCTGTATAATACCTTCACAACGGGCACCAAAATCACGTACAATATTCTCTCGGGCTTCCATTGTTTCTGCTAATTGTATTATATAATTTGTATCCGGTACTTGAAGTTCAACAATACCTTCCATATGATTTAATTCTAATGAATGTCCTAATACTTCTAAAATGTTTAACATTGTTGTCAGTACACGTTTACTCCAAAGTAAATGTGGAAAACGATCAACCAATCCACTAAGATAACGATCCGCTGCACGTCGAATTTGTTTTTGACGATTATTAAATTTTACCAATAACAATATAGAATATTCTTCCAGCTCATTATCACGTAATTTATTTTTAGGTTTTTTTACCATCATTTCAAGGAAAACTTTAAAAATTTTATCCGATATTGATAGGATACATTGCCAAATACCATATTTATCTTTTTGTATTGAATGATCTTCTAAATATTGCATTATTATGTAGAAAGGGTTAATTGAATTATTTGTTTGTATACGAAATACTTCCAAACGACAAATCGATAATAGATAAATACATTGTGCAAATGTTAATTTATTTATTATAGCTGATACTTCAGAATTATATTCTAAATCACCAAGTATTTGATTACGAATTTCCTGTAATTCCAATCCAGAAACAGCATCATTTCTTATTGCTGAATTCAAATGTAAATCTGATCTCAGATGTGATGATGATTTTAATAATGGTGATTTGGCTGCAATTTCTTTAACACCTAGATACCAATCTTGTGGCCATAATTGTGTATTGGATGTAAAACCCATTACAACACAATAAAGCCAAAAATCACGAAATAATTTATGCAGACGTGGTTTTGGATTCTCCAGAAATGGTAATCGTTTTGTAATTGTTGCAATAACCGGTATCAAAATTCCCAGATTACCGGCACTTGTTGATGTTTTTACTGTTGTTGGATTTTTTTCATTTGCACGTTTACCTTCCAGCCCCAATTGAACAAATAATTCTAATAACCGTCCAAGCAATTCAATAAGATCAGATTCTTGATTTAAACGACGTGCAAAATAACCATAAGCATTAATAACAGGTAATGATACATGACTATAATTAATTTGTTCATTATTATTATATGCTAAACTTGATTTTATCGTAATGGTTGCAAACATTTTCATTGCATGATCATAAACAACATCACGACAATGTCTAGCTATAGCCATTTCACTTAATTGTTCAACAATTAATGAATCAATTGATGATACTGGTTGACAAAAACGTTGTTGAAAAAATTGAAATACAATTTCCACTGTACGTGGAATGTCGGATAATTTTATTGCCATACGACCCAATGTAACGATTGTATTCATTGAAATTATTGTCGATTCACGAGCAGATTTTTCTGCCTGATATAAATGATTCGATATTGATGCTATGGATGCCTGTATACAATGTGAATCATATTTGAGGCCATGTCGTAAACAAATACAAAGATTATCAATAGCACAATCACGTAATTTGTTAAATAATGTAAATTTATCACCACCACCAACAATACCACCAGTACGAATTAAATATTTACCTTGATAATCATTTGATAATAAATCATTAGTAATCATTTGATTACAATCAATAATTTGTAAATGTTTTTGTTCAGTTAATTTCAACAGGATAGGTGATGGTACAATAAGAAAATCACGTAAAACTGAAATACAACTGATAGCTGTTGTTGGAAATGATTGAACCAAATAACCAAGACCATTCAAACATGATAAAAATATTGGTAAATGAGTGATGACTAAACGATGACCATGTTGTGCATTTAGCCGTTCGGATATACGAAAACAAAGTGTATCAGCAGTTGTTTCATCTTGTGCTGTCCATACCAATAGATCCAAACATAATGCATTGGTCAGAATGTTAAATTTAAATATTTTTATCGATGTTGATGTTGATGGATTTTTACTACTCAATTCGGATTGATAATTTAGATAAAGTTGTTTAATAAATTCTTCAATTTCTGTAATAAATTTTGTATGTAAATCTTGTCGTAAAAATAATAAACTTTTCAATAATGATATGATGGCTAAATGAACGATTTCATTGAATTGTTTATAATAAAGTATTCGTGATGATTTATTTCGCTGGAAAACAGAAGAAGAAAACTTTTGATTAGAAAAAATTTGAAAATTTTTTGATAAAACAAACCTCATAGATTTTCATTGCAATTTCATCAAATTTTTTCAATAATTCTTTATTTAATAATGAATTAAAACATTGGAATAATCGTTGCAAATATTCATGTGTGAAATTAATTTTAAAATGTTCAACTTGATGAAAATATTCCGAATAATTATCATTAATAAACCAATCAAAATTTGAACCATATTTATGAAAAAATATACTTGTATAATCAACATCTTCCCATAAACTTTTAACATTCGAATTCGAATGATTCGAATGTTGTTCAGCGAATGTAGCAATTTTCGAACGTAATGATTGATTTGTATCACTTTTTGGAATACTTTTGCGTCCACCGATGGTTGTGTTTGCGGTTGCGGCTGCCGTAGCCGATGATGATGATGATGAATAAACACCAACGGGAACATTTATAGTGATATTATTATCAAAATCAACTGTTGGTTCTTGTGATAGATCCGATTTTGGTGGTTGACATTTTTGTGGAAATATTTTCAAAAATAATGATTCTTGTTGAATAACATTATCGTCATCGTCGTTGCTATCATCTTTGTCACATTGTCGTCGTCGGCTCTTGGTGGTAGTTGCCGGACAACGACCTAATGATCGACATAAACCAAGTAAAAGTGGTAATAAATGATCACATAATTCAATACAAGCTTGTTCATCATCATCATGTTTATCAAATCCGATAAGTAATTTTGTTAACCGCTCCAGTTGATTAATTTGTTTTTCAATTATTTTCTCAGTTAATTCTGGGCAAAAATATGCAATATCAGTAAGGGCAGTATTCAAACAAAAACTAAATCTTTCTGCAATCGGTATACGATCTTGTTCATAAATTTTTACCACTTCAATCCATTCGACATCAATAAGTTTATCAAATAAATCCAATAAATAATCAACAATTAAATTACAATATTTTTGTTGAAAATTTGATTCCAACAGATAGATAATCAAAGCAACGACTGAATCTTGTGATTTTTGATCAATCTGTATACGATGTTTATTCGATCGCGATAATGTTGGCGTTGATACTGATGATGGTGGTGAAAGTGATGGACAACAACTAAACAAAAAATTAATTGCATCATTATTTGGACATTCTTTTTGTTTAGCACAAGATCTGGCTAGATTTTGTATTGAATTGAAAAAGAAATTATTATGATTTGCAATTCGCATGGCTTCTCTATCTCTCTTTATTCACAAATCAAAAAAATCAACGAAAATAAATCGAGAAACAAAAAAAATAACAAAATTTAATTTAGAAATTAGAAAAATTCAAACAGATTCTGGATTCTCATTTTGCCTTTTGAAAAAAAATATTTGACATTTTGGAATGGGGAAGAAAACAAAAACAAAAAAATCTGATCCATAAATCCAAAAACCATATATTGACCATAATGGTCAGTAACTGGTAGAAATAGTTTCTAGTTTCTGTTTTTTCGAATAGAATCCACATGGAGATTGCCACATCACATTTTTTTTCACCAATTTGCCGTGATGATTACCTCGTGTCCGAACGATAATGGTCAGCTGTAAACCAGTTTTTTGTTTGTTGAAAAAATAAGGAATTATACCGACGCTCACAGACGAAAAAGAGTTTAAACAAGTTTTTCTTCCTTTTTGAAGCTTTTGTTGTGGTTGAATCGAATGTTCGAATCAACTTCGACAATTGTCGTCCATAATCATTTTCGTAGTTCAACTCTTTTAAATTTTAGAAAAAATTATCCATTGTTATTCGGTGGCCGATTGTTTATGTCGAGTCGTATCATTAGTGTCGTTGCTCGTAGATTATTATCATCATCATCGTCATTGAAAAATAAAAACAACAAAAACATCAGCAACAATAAAGTTCCAACTGATTGGGGATATAAAAAAATCAATAAATATAAACCATTGTTTGTTGAAAAAATTATGGCCGAATTAGATCCGAAAATTGCTTCGCAACTTGAACCATTCCGTCAATCGGTAAAAGAACAAGGTAATTTCTTTGTTTTCTTTTAATAATAACCGATGTTCAATGTTGAAATTTTTCATTTTTGTTTCCCATCCCTATGGACAAAAATTAGGTGACATTGTTCGTCAGCTTAAAAGTGAAAATGCACCCGAATTGGATGTTAAAAAAGCTGTAGCCGAATTGAAAAATCGTAAACGGCTTTTGGAAGAAAAAACTTTAGAACTAGCACCACCTGATGCTGGATTTGAACGTACCAAAATGGAAGATCTAATTAAACGTCGTTTCTTTTTTGATAATTCATTTGCTATTTATGGTGGTATTACCGGGCAATTTGATTTTGGACCAATGGGTTGTTCGGTCAAAAACAATATGATTGATTTATGGAGAAAACATTTTGTTCTGCAAGAACAAATGTTGGAAGTTGATTGTACTGTTTTAACACCGGAACCAGTATTGAAAGCATCCGGACATGTTGAACGTTTTGCTGATTTAATGGTTAAAGATTTGGTTACTGGTGAATGTTTTCGTTTGGATCATTTGATTAAAGCTCATTTGGAAAAATTATCATCAAATCCAAAAACTTCTGAAGAGATTCGACAAGAATGTCAAACTATTGTTACGAAATTGGATGGTTTCAATAAAGATCAGATGAATGAAATTTTAAAAAAATTTAAAATCAAATCACCACTTACCGGTAATGATCTAACCGAAGCTATTGAATTTAATCTTATGTTTTCAACAATGATTGGACCATCTGGCCAGGTGAAAGGTTTTCTTCGACCCGAAACAGCACAAGGAATTTTTGTCAATTTTAAACGTTTATTAGAATTTAATCAACGAAGATTACCATTTGCAGCTGCCCAAGTTGGTAATGCATTTCGTAATGAAATTAGTCCACGTTCTGGTCTTATTCGTGTTCGTGAATTTACATTGGCTGAAATTGAACATTTTGTTGATCCATCGAATAAAAGTCATCCAAAATATGATACTATTGCTGATTTACAATTGAATCTTTATACAGCATGTAATCAAATGGATGGTAAATCAAGTGAATTAATACGAATTGGTGATGCTGTTGATAGGAAAATTATTGCCAATGAAACATTAGCATATTTTATTGGTCGTATTTATTTGTTTATGGTAAAAATTGGTATCGATCAACGAAAACTTCGATTTCGTCAACATATGGATAATGAAATGGCACATTATGCAACTGATTGTTGGGATGCTGAATGTTTAACATCGTATGGTTGGGTTGAATGTGTTGGTTGTGCTGATCGTTCATGTTTTGATCTATTACAACATACAAAAGCAACTAATGTTAAATTGGTTGCGGAAAAAGATCTACCGGAACCTAAAATGATTAATGTTGTTGAAATAGTTCCGAATAAAGGTTTGATGGGTAAACATTTTAAATCGAATGCACAAAAAGTAATACAACGATTAAATGTTTTGAATGAAAATGAAATCAAACAAATTGAAGAGGAATTGAATGCAAAAAATGAATTTATTTTGGATTTAGATAAAGAAAATCAAGTGACAATAACCAAAGAAATGATAACAATCAAAAGATATGAGAAAAAAATTCATGTTGAAGAATTTACACCGGGCGTTATTGAACCATCATTCGGTATTGGTCGTATAATGCATACATTATTTGAACATAATTTTCGTATCCGTCAAGATGATGAACAACGAACATATTTTGCATTACCGGCTATTGTTTGTCCAATTAAATGTTCATTATTACCATTAAGTAATCATCAATCATTAAAATCGTATGTTACGGAAATTTCAAAACAATTATCATCAGCAGATATTTCATTTAAATTTGATGATACTGGATCGATTGGTAAACGTTATGCACGAACTGATGAAATATCAATACCATTTGCTATTACGATTGATTTTGATAGTTTGAATGATAAAATGGTTACATTAAGAGAACGTGATTCAACCGAACAAATTCGCTTGCCAGTAAGTTTTTTTTAGTCATTATATTCGTTAATTTAATATATTTCTAATGGAATTTTTTTTCATTCTAATAATAGATAGCTGATGTAGTTAATATTGTTAAAGAATTATCAATGAATATTCGTCAATGGGATGATGTTCGTAATCAATATGGAATATTTGATCCTACACAAAGTTCTTCCGAGCCGCCACCACAATAGCATCAATTAATCGATTGTGTTTGTCATAAAAATTTATCAATATCGATATAAACAATTGATTGTAATCGTTTATCATTTTCTAAATTATGAATTAGATTTTGTAATTGTTGCAATCGGCTTAAACGTTCTTGAAGTAAACAACGTTGTTTTTCAAGAAATTTATCCAAACGATTATATAATAATTGATAATTTGAATCAAATAATTTTATAAATAAATTATCCCAAACAGCAATTTCATCAGACCAACGTCTGCATTGTTCTGGCCATTGTTTTTCACGTTCTTCATAGAACATTGTTTGAAAATGATTATCACGTGATTCATTTAGATTCAAATATATATCGATAATTTGTAAACAACGATCATTCAATTGAACCAATTCATTACGTTCAACAATTGTAAATAGTTTTTCATCGATAATCATTATGTTCAAACGATTTTGATTATCATCAATAATCGATTTATAAAAACGAAGTAATTTACGGATGGCAAAACAAATCTGTCTTAATGGATCGGATTGATAATTATAATTTGTTGTTAATGTAGTCGATTTACTACTAAAACAACGATTAACATGACGATTCCATTGGGAAAAAAATTCATTTCGTTTTTCTTCAATTTTTTCATCCAATTCAGCTTGTCGTAGAAGATAATCAACAATCATATTAGTATCGATAAAATTATTTCGATAATCTTTAGCCACCTGATGATATTGACGAAAAATTTCCGTCATTTTTTGCATATAATTTTCATATCGTTTTTGATTCATTTCAATTTGAATATCATCTTCAATATAGAATGGTGGTGGATCGACATTTAGATTTTCCATTGATCGATGATGCCGAACCATACTTTTATTCTGATCCCAATTATCCATTAATTTTGTTTCACGATTCCATCTTCTAAATAATGTGAGATAACCAATGTAAAATAATCACCAAGGTTCATCATCATCCTACTTACCGATAATATCTATCAATTTGTTCATTTTGTTTACAACGATTTGAATCAAATTCATGTTTGTTTGCTAAACGTTTTTCCGTTGAATATTTATCACCAGTAACATAATACCATGGATGAATTGATGATAAATTTGATGCTGAATTTGATGTTGTCATTGATTTTCCACGTGAACGAGGCATGATGATGACTAATCGAATGATTTACGGAAAAAGTCTATTTTGGATGAAACCATTCTGGTCAGGATTTTTTTGTAGATTTTCAAAACTTTCTGGCCAGAATCACTAATAGCAACCGTTATTGTCAATTTAATTTATTGAAAAATTTATACATTGTTGTACTTGACAAAAGTGCACACTATAAACTTGGTTATTCTGTGCATCACGTGTTTTTTTTTGATTCTGAATTCTGTTCTGTTTTTTTGAAAAACAGAATTATCATGATCGATGATTATCAATCATTCTTGTCATCAATCACCTTGGAATTTAATAAAATATTTTATATTTCGACGTAATAATATTGCCTCAATGAATACGACGGTCAAACGTAAAACATTGGAAGATTGTGATGATAATAATGGTGATGGTGTTGATACCGAAATCGTTCCCAAAGAGCCGACATCCGAAATTCAACCAAAAATTGATAACCATCAACAACGTCCAGTTTCTAAAAAATCACGAACAGCTAAAATCGATCTACCAAAAGAATCATTAGATGTTTCCAATTATTATATTGAAAATGGTAATCGAAAAGTTTATCCATATTATTATACCTATCATTCATATTGTAAAGGCCGATGGTTAGGTAAAACATTAGGTGATTTATTTGCCGATGAATTTCGTCGTTTAACGCCGGAAATTTTAACGAAAAAAATCGAAAAAGGTTTACTAAAAGTAAATGGACAACCAGTATCATTAGATTATCAATTAAAAGATAATGATTTTATAACACATCGTATTCATCGTCATGAATTTCCAGTTTTAGCTGCACCAATACCAATCATACATTCAGATGAACAATTATTAGTGATTGATAAACCACCATCATTACCTGTTCATGCATGTGGAAAATTTCGTTTAAATTCAATCATATCCGTACTGGAAAAAGAGAATAAAATTCAAGATCTGCATCGTAAGCATTTGATTAAATATTTTTTCACAACATTTTCTGAATCGAAATAATGAAGTTTGTTTTTTCCATTCAGTTCTTCATCGATTAGATCGATTAACATCGGGTATTATGATAATAGCACGTACAAAAGCTTGTGCACAAAAATTACATGAACAAATGAGAAATCGTGAAATGCATAAAGAATATCTTTGTCGTGTGGAGGGTTATTTTCCAGAGTAAGTTTTTTCATTGAAAAAAAATCATATTTTCAACCAAATTCATCATTATTAGTGGTACAATTGAATGTGATCAACCAATCGAAACATTAGATCATAAAATTGGTATTTGTATAGTATCAACGAATGGTAAACCAAGTCAAACAAAATTTCAACGATTAAATTATAATGGTAAAAGTTCAACAGTTCTGGCACAACCATTAACCGGCCGAATGCATCAAATTCGGGTTCATCTACAATATCTTGGCTATCCAATTGTTAATGATAATTTTTATAATAATACCGTGGTATTTGGACGAAAAAAAGGTTGCCAAGGTGATATGGATGGAAAAACAAGGGAACAAATTCTTCAAGATTTAGAATCCGAACATTCAAAATCTATTTATTACGTTGATAATGATGATAATCAATCGGAAGATCAAAATCAACAACAACAAAAACAAGACAGAATTAATGACGAACGTAATAAGTATGCATTGAAAGCATTGGAACATTATACATCACAACCAATATGGAATGATTTAAAAATTAAGTAAGTTTTGTTTTAGTTGTTGAAAGCCACCAAAGTGTTAATTTTGATGATGATTTTGTATGTTTGAAAATAGTTACCAATTTGATGCTGAAAAATATATAAAAGATCCAGATTGTAATGAATGTCGTAACGAAATGATTGATCCAGTTGCCTATGAACAATTAATCTATTTACATGCATTAAAATATCAAGGTAAAGATTGGTCATTTGAAACACAGATACCTGTTTGGGCTAAAGATACATGGACATATGATTGATTGTTTGATTAATTAATTGTAAAATTTAAATAAATTTTTATAATTTTTTGTTTCCAAAATCTGTTGATGTGATGATGTTTTTCACAAAACTTTACATAATAAATTGATAAAAATTGTTATAAAAATGATCATCATATAAATACCAACACAATTTAAACATCGTGATAACCATAGAAAACACAGAAAAAGAAATGATTGTAAAATAAATCCATATGATGACATAAATCGTAAATTTATACGTGGTGGTAATTGATTGATTTTAATTGCTGGTTTTCGATGACCCAGATTATGATCTGTTGTTGTTGATAAACTTCGTTCATAATATGCATAAGAAACGGGTGGAGATAAAATTGTTCGACAAAATGCTCCATATAAATTTGGTTGATCATAATATGTTTGAAAAATTTGGCCAAATTTTCGATTAATCAATGTTGATAAAAATAATGTCAATCGAACTAATAAACCAATTTCAAATGATCGTACGGGTTGTTCATCTGGATTACCTTCAACGATTTTAGGTAATTTTTCCAATTTTAACGAACCGTTCATAATTTGTGAAAGTCCATATTCAGTTAATTTTGGTACACCATCAATCATTTCATAGATATCTTCTTTTCGATGATGATGATGTGAATGGTCATGATTATTGATTATCATTTCATCAACATTATTATCATCATCCTGATCATTGATAATAGATTTTCGTGCATTTGCCAATATTGTTTCAATACTTTGTTGTGGTATATCGAAAATCGAAGATATAAATTCAATCGATGCATTCAAATGATTACGAATTTTTTCATAATTAACATTCGAATTTGGTTTATTCGATTGATGATGGACAGCATAATCGATAGTGAAAAAATTGACAATCGATTCGAATATACCGCTTTCCGATTTGTTACGATTTTTATTTGTTGTGGATGATGATAATGATGATGATTTTGTTTGCAATTCCGTTACGGTATGTAATGATTTAGCAATTTTAAGTAATAATTCAATAATTTGATCACGAAATCCTGATGAAAATATTGATATATAATCTGATTGTACAATTTCACTATCCATTAATGTAATATTTTTATCATTATGTATTCGATGATGATGATATGGTGATGATTGTGATTGTTGATGATGATGATGATGATGAGAAAACAACGGCGATGCTTGTCGAACATATCCACCTGTTGTTGGTGTAGTTGTTAAGTTTGTCGATAAATCACCATTATTATTAAAAAATTTCATTTCAGATTTTTTCATCATTTCTTTTAGATTATCTTGACCAAAAACTTTTAGTACACGATATAAAAGTAAGGAATTATTTGCTGAACAAAGATCCAATTGTTTTGTTATACGTGTAATAACCTGACGAAATAGTACCGTATAGAAGACAATATTTTCATCAATAAAACGACGCCAATCATAACGATCCAAATTGTTTAATGTTTCATTGGAATTATGACCCGGAATATAACGCCATGGTTGAATATAACTAAGCCATGTTTCCAATGGGATACGAAATGATGAATCATTTGGCCAACGATCAAATACAATACGCAAAAATGAATATAAATTTTTCTGTATCATATATTTACTTGTCCAAAGTGAACGTTTTAAATCATCTAATGATGCATTTAATGATCCGGATATAAAACCACCGCTATTAATTTGATCACCTGAACTTATTATCGAATAATCATTATATTTATTCTTCATAATACTACTATTACTAAAATAATGTAGATGTTTGATGAAAATACGAACAACACGCATATGTTCAATAGTAATATTAAAATGGCCAGCCGGTATCATTCGTAATGATGATGATGGTGATGATCGTTGATCAATTGAAAATGCATTACCACCACCACCACCACGTGAAATTGTAAATGAATTTGATAACCATATTTCCGAAAATATTCGTATCACTATATCACATTTATATGAAACATTACCAATTGGATCATTTTGATCATTTATCATCATCATCATCATTCCTTGATTATTATTGTTTAACATGACATTTTGCTGTTGTTGTTGAAATTGATTGAATATAGCTGGATTTAAAATCGATGAACCTTGTTGCTGTCGTTGTTGTTGATTTTTATTTGATCCAAAATAAAAATCATTTCGTTGTTCACCACCGCCACCAACATTTTGATTCATCGATCGTCCAGATAATGGTTGTTGTTGTTGTTGTCCATCATGTCGATGTAATCCATTTATTGATGATAAATTCAATAAATTTGTTGTTGTTGATGATAATGATTTCCATAAACTTGATGATTTCATATCGAATAGATTGGAATTTGTCATCATCATCATATTATTATTGTTCGATGTTGGCGATGTCGAAATAGTAGCCGATTTCATAACATTCGAATGATCAATAATTGGAACAAAAAATTCCAGATAATTTTCCAATAAAATATAATACAAAACATTGATTGTATCTTCGTTCGATCCCGACGACGATAATAATGATTGGTTAAATGATGATGGTGGTGATTGAACAGTTTCACGAGTTATATAACAAGCAAAATGAAATAGAAAAAATTCAAATGAATTCAATGAAAGTGTTGATGGTGTTGACATTTTATCCATAAATAAATGATGTTGTTGTTGTTGCGATTGTGGATTATCAAATTGATTTCGTAATGATAATGGTAAATAACCGATTGAAAATTCATGACGATTATGCATTGTTTGATCATTACTCATTAGATGACGTATTAATTTAAATACGGGTCCATCAATACAAAGTAAAAAGAAAATTGAATCAAATTCTTTTGGTGTTGATTCTTTGGTCAGTGATCGTAAACGCCAATTATTCGTTCCGTATTGATTACAACCAAAAATATCTTCAATTAATAATACATAACGATGTTGCATTTCTTTAATATTGGTCGATGTTGATTCATAAATTAAATCTGTTAATAATTTACATTTGACCAAAATGTTTGATTCTTTTAATGCATTTTCGAAACGAATCTGAAACGGTAATGACATATAACCTTGATCCGATATTGTCATCGTATTTATAGGTCTTGTTGAATTATACATTTTTATTTTTAGTTGTCGAATATCAATTCAATCAAAATGTGTTAATGAAAAATGAAGAAACAAAAAATCTTTTGGAAACACGAAATTCACGATGTCAAACACAAACAAACAACATGCGTGCATGTTGATAAAAGCAGTTACAATCACGTGACTAAACATATATGTTTCTATTTTCACCCAAACAAGACGTTTGAATCAATATAGCGAAATTTTAAATTAATTTTTTTAGTAACCTAACCTAACTCAACTATGAATCACAGTCATAGTCAAAGTCAGCAACCTAACCTCACTGTACTATGAATCACAGTCATAGTCATAGTCATCAACCTAACCTCACTCAACTATAAATCATAGGCATCATGAGCAACCTAACCCAACTCAACTATAAATCATTGCTTGAAAAAAAATTGCGCATGAGTAAGTTCTTTTATTTAAAAATTTTTTTTGTCATTTTTGTGAAAAAATCGATTGTTTATCGAATAAACAATCGATTCGAATGTTTTTGTTTTCGAATGTTTCATTTCCTTCATTTTTTCATTCTGGTCACTTTTTGTTTGTTGTTGTCGAGGTTAAACAATGAATCCAGAAGAAGATTATCCAAGATTTTCACCAACTTCATCAACGAATGAAACATTTATCCGAGAATTTCGTTCGTACGCACAAGATGCCGCTCAATTTGAATTTGCCGATTCGATGCCTTTCAATCATAATGATGATGATAATTCAATTCGACCAACAACTACGATTACGGCTGTCACATCAACATCAATGGACGTGGCCGATGTTCCAGAAAATCTCAATTTCAATCTTTCAAATGACAATGACAATGATCGATTTTCTTTGCCATCGCCATCGATCGAATCGATCTATTCACAACAATCAATATCATCATCCACATCGAATGATTGGATAAGAAATAATCTTCCATTATCTTCACAATCCTCATCGTCCAGAAGTACTTTGATGGACATTTCCAATCGAATGAACTTGAGCATTTCGAATAATCCAATCGCAAAACATAATCGTTCTTCATATGGTCGAAATAGTACATCATATAATCGTTCAAAAACATTGAATACATCGACCATATCAACTTCTGGTGTAAATGTATCGATCCATTATCAATCTGAAATTGTCATGTCAATTGTTGAAGGTCGTGGAAAAGCTAAAGGTGAAATTGGAATAGCATTTATCGATCTAAAATCTATTCCTATTTTGAAAGTATCACAATTTGTTGATAATTATTCTTTGGAAGCATTACGTTCAAAATGTCAAGTTTATACACCGGTCGAAATAATATTTCCACATACAATGTCATCGAATAATCGTATGATGTCAACATTGATCGAATCATTTCCCGATATTGTATATCGTCCATTTAATAGAAAATTTTTCAATGAAAAACGTGGTTTCGATATCATTCGTATGCTGGCCTATGATGATTGTCAATGGATTGATTTACAATTGGATAATAAATATTATTGTTTAGCTGCTTGTTCGGCATTGTTTCATTATCTTATTGTTGTTCGTCAAGTAAGTTTAAGTTTTTCATTTGATTTTTACAAAAAATTAATGTTTTTTTTTTCTGTCGACGACAACATTTGTTTTTTTTTCGCTACAGATTCAATATGCACCAAAATCGATAAAAATAATTTATCAAAGTTCATTAAACACAATGATTATCGATCCACTTACAACTAAAATTCTTGAATTAATAATCAATCTAGCCGATCCAAAAAGTTGGCATACATTATTCGATACGATAAATCGAACCAGAACAAAATCCGGCCATATTTTACTTCGATCTAATATCCTACAAGTATGTGGGTATTTTACTTATTAGTTTCTTTCATCATTAATCTATTTCCCATTTTTTTTTCATTCGTTTTCCAGCCTACAACAAACTTACAATTGATTAATAAACGTTTAGATATGATAGAGGCAATTTCTTGTTCAATAGAAATATTCAATAGTTTCGAAAATATTCTCGAAAGTTTTGGTATGGTTGATCTTGATCAATTGCTTGTCAATATGGTATTGGTTCCTGTCAAAGCTAATCAATCCTATGATGAGGATAGATCAATAAATTCAAGTGAATCATCAGCGACGACGAATATTGGCATCAAATCTGTATCAGCCGTTTCGATACGTTTCATTGAAAAAAAGATTGACTATGTTATCAATATGAAACATGTTGTTGCATTAGTTGATCATTTACGTGATTTACTTATCAAATGTAATCCGGAACTTTTTGCTGAATATATTGAACTTTTAAATGATCCTGGTTATGATCAGATCAAAACCATGGTTGATAAGGTTATCAATAGTGAAGCTAAATGTGTAAAATCAGCTTTTGGACTTGGTGCAACAACAGGAAAAACAAATACATTCAATAGTACTGGATCAGCGGCAATGAAATTGGAACGTTGTTATGCAATCAAAGATCGTTTTAATCCTATGTTAGATATTGCCCGTAGTATGTATTCGGAAACAATTGATGATATTGTAGCATTAGCTATGGCTTATGGCAAGTATTTTTTTTATTTATTTTACTTCATTGGATTAAATGATTGTTGTTTATCGTAGAAGTCAAATTCAGTTTACCTGGTATTCGGCTTAATTTCAACACATCCAAAGGATTTCATATGCAAATTAAACCGATGAAAAATAAAAACAATGATAACAACAAAAATTTCGATCGTGATCAACAAAAACGATTACCATCAATTTTTAAAGATGTTCATATCACTAAAAATTGTATCTCATTTACAACGGAAGATTTGATGCGTCTCAATAATCGAATACGACAATCGATTGAAGAAATTTATCTACAAAGTAATGATATCATTACTAAATTAATTGAACAAATTCGGACAAAAATTTCATGTCTCTATAATCTGACCGATATTGTGGCCAACATTGATCTCGTTTATTCGTTTGCCTATCAAAGTTTATGTGCAAATTGGGTACGACCTCAATTCAGTTCTCATTATACCGAAATTATTCAGGTAATGATTCTTAATTATAACTTAAATACTTACTGAATTTTTTCTCGTTGATCAACAAAAAGGGAACACATCCGATACTTGATAACATATCCGGAGGAAATTCGGTACCGAATTCAATATTCTTAAGCAATGATCTTAATTTTCATATTATAACCGGTCCAAATATGAGTGGAAAGACGACTTTTTTGAAACAGATTGGTCTTATACAGATATTGGCACAGATTGGTTCATTCGTGCCGGCACAAATTGATACAACATTTCGTTTATGTGACAAAATTTTCACTCGAATGGCGTTGAATGATAATCTACAGATGAATAGTTCATCGTTTATGGTCGAAATCAAAGAATTACATTATATACTCAATGTAAGTGTATTCATTCTATTAGTTTTCATTGTAATAATCCTTTCACTTATTCGAACCATCTGCTACATTTTTATACTTATAATACTTTGGCAACACTAACCAAAAAAAAAAAAAAAAAAAAAATCAATCTTTAAAGCATGTTTCCCCAAACTGTCTAATACTGATCGACGAACTTGGTCGGGATTCTAGTCCCGATTCGTATGATGAAAATGCTGCTGTTGTCGATACTATGATGATGGAATCAACTTTTCCAACATATTGGTCGTTTTGTGAATCATTACTAATGTTTCAATCATCTTTTACTATTTTTGCCACACATTTTCCCCGGCTTACATCATTGTCAAAATATTATTTCAACGTAAGCAATCATCATTTTCGTTCTGAAGAACGATTAGAAAGTAAGTAAATTTTTTTCTTTCTATTTGAATAATTCACAATTTTCAAAAAGAATTTAGATAGAAATGATTGATTTGAGTTCATTTTTTTATTTTATTCAATCTAATTTTCTTTACTTTTTTATTCGGTTCGATGCATATTCATCCCTGTACAATTATTACACGTTCCCTAGACAATCTGGTTTGTAAATATCCGCACATATTACATCCGGGTAGAACACGAGAACAATTCTATGGAATTCTTTTAGCCGAACAATCAGGCCTAGATGAAAAAATTATTTCAGATGCCAAAATAATCTCTCAAAGTTTTCGGCCATCATCATCATTGTCTCGTTCATTATCAATGAGAACATTGTTAAATATTAGTGATTCATCTACTGTCGATAATGAAAATTTAGACATTTCTAATGAAGAATGTATTGATTTACAAGTTAAATATCGAATCGCATCAAGATTATTACATTTTAAAAGGATAAATCCACAAGCTGAAATCACTGCTACAATGATACGAGATTTACAAATTTCGTACGAAGAATTACGACAAGAATTTTTGGATCAGTAAAAAACAAAAACAAAAACATTTTTCAACAACAATAATTAATGTTTTGTTTTTCAACACTAAATTAAATTCTCGTTTCAATCGATTTCCAACGAATTATGTTTACTTTCATTCATTATCATCACCATCAACATCATTATTTGTCACAATTTTTTTTCCAATTTAATTTTCATTATTCAATCAAAAATGATTGTATATGGTGAGCGCAAACAAACACCACATCATATAAATTACATCAAAATTTTATTGTTGTTGTTGTTGTTTGTCTCCCATTATTATTATTGTTATTATCATCATCATGATGATCAACATCATTATCATCTGCATTACATTCATTCACTTCCGAAAGTGTGTATATATTAATTTTTGATGAGACAGGTTGAGTCAAAATTTTTTTTCCATTTTACAATCTTCTTCTTTCCAAATGGATAATGTTATTGTTGTTTGATGATGATGAGCCCAAAGTGAAAAGAATGTTAATTTATTCCATCGAAAGAATGAAAATGAAAAAAACGAAACGAAAAAAGTATGAATTTTCTAGTAATTTAGCCGATTTAGTTTTCTTTTTTGGGTCATAATATTCTTGCCCGAAAATAGAAAATGGATTGCTTTTTTTTTTGAAAAGCAAAAAAATTTTGAATTGCTCAATTCTTTCACTGTTTGTGTGTGTGTGTGTGTATCGTCTCTTGGTTACTCTCTGGAAAGAATTGGATTTTTTTTTTATATAACTTTCACATCACATCAGACCAAATTCAAGTTAATAACTAATGTGTCTTCTTTTTCATTGATTTTTTTTTCATTCCTTTTATTCATTCATCACCCATAATATTTGATGGATTTTCTTTTCAAAATTTCTTCTTTTTTTCCAGCAAAAATATAGAAAGAAAAAAAACTAAAATTCAAGTCTTGTTGTTGAAAAAAAAATATCTTTCATCAGAAATGGATAAATCCCTGCACACTACACAGCATCAGTGAAATAATAATAATAATCCACACTACTTGATTTGAATCTGCAGAATTTCCAGAATCGAGAATCTCTAGAATTCATTTTATCACGTTTTTTTTTGTTGGCTGGGGTAAAACTTCTTCTTTTTTTTCCATCGAAATGAAATATTTGATCAGGTTTTTTTTCCTGTTCAAATTGAATTTTCATCATCATCACTCTTTTGCTCTCAATTCGCTTGTCACACAACACAACACCAAATGTGATTGATTTGTTTGCATTTTGTACAATTTATATATATTTTTGGCAGAATAAGAAAAACCAAACATCACACCTAACCTAACCCAGTTGACAAAACTTTTTTTTCTTTTCTTTTCTTCTCCCTATACCTTCGTTTTCATTTTCATATAATGATGTTTTTTTACTAAAAAAAAAATTCATCGACCATGATGTTTTGTTTTTCACTGATAAAATTCTGGGACAAAATTCATTCAGTTTTTTTTTTTGCAAAACTTTGTTATCAAACGATATTCAATATTATTCATTCACCCGCATTCTATGTGTTTTTTTTATTTTCATTTTCATTTTTGAATTCTGTTTGTTTATCATCATCATCATCATCATCGTTTCCGAGTAAAAAAAAACAAAACGAAAAAAAACTTGAATAATGAAATAGATATGCTGTAAGAAAAGCAAAAATATTCACTTCGGTAATGGGGTGGGGGAAAAAAATACCGGGAAAATTGAGGGGAAAGAACCAAGATAAAAACAAACATTCACAATGATGACCCTTTTTTTGGCTCGAATTCTCCATTGCAAACAATATAATATTATTGCTGATGACAGTTGATTTTCTCACTGACTGACTGAGTGAAAGTGATCAATCGATCGATTTTTAATTGATTTTGACTAATTGGTCGGATTGTTTCCAAAACTGATGATGATAATGATCGTTTGTGGATGACCCTAATCAAATTAGTTTCTCGCCAAAAAAAAATTAACTTCATTAATCTAATGATGATGACGAAAAAAAAGAAGATTTTCTTCCTTTCAAAAATTATTCTTTCGATTTCCAAAAACTTTTTGTTTGTTGTTGACGATCCGAAGCCAATATTTGATCATTAGAATGGATCAATTTTCTTTGGAAAAAAGTTTTGTCATCTTTTTTTGTTTGATATTTGAATTTGGATCATCATCATCATCATTTGTCAAAATATCCCCCCCAAAAAACATTTTTGTGATTTCGTGATTTTGTTTTTTCGTGCATCTTTTCCATCCATCCATCCATCCAACCAAAACATCATTCATCCAACAATTAATAATCGCTGTTTGTTTGTTTGTTATGATCTATGATGATCATCATCCAAAAACTTTTTCATTTGCAAAAAAAAGAAGAAATTCTTGTTAATCTTGTTGCTTCGGTGACTGCTTCGATCATGGATGATGATGATACTGTTTTATAACTTTGAATTTTGTTTTTAAAAAAATGCAAATTGTTTGTTTTTTGTCAATTTCTTCATTTTGGCGCACATAAGATTCTCTCGCTATATATATTTGTCATTGAATAATTTTGATGAAAAAAATTTCCATGGAAAATCTAAAGAAAAAGAAAGAAGAAAATTATTAAAATTCTGGGAAATTTTTTTAAAGAAAAATGTGACAAGAACGAATAAAAATGATCGAGTACATCAGTTCAGTTCCATCTTTTTTTAAAAAGAAAATAGATTTTCTTCATCATCATCTTCATTTTCGGTCAAGGCTTTCGGTTCCACATCTTATCATCATTCATTATAAAGCGCATCTTCTTCTTCCATTTTCCTTCTTCATCCCCACCAAACAAAAAAAAAACTTAAAAACCGGAATCCATCAAGATTCTATTTAAAGTTTTTTTTTCTTTAAAATTTTTTCCTTTTAAAAATTCCTTGTTGTTGTTGTTTGGGATCAAATTTTTTCTCTTCTCTCCAGCGGAATAAACACAATTTCAAAAGCGTTCGACCAAAATATAAAGTTTATTTTTTTTTTTTTTCATTCAAAGTTTATCATCTGGGTTGCTGATGGTTTGGTTATTTAAAGCAAGCTTTTTCTTGCTTTAAATAACGAATTTTTATTTTATTTTTTTTTTTTTTTGATTCGTTATCGACGTGACCAAATATTTTTCATATACTTATACTTGGTGGGCCATTTTCATTTTCATTTTTTGTCGATCATCTTAATCACACATGGATGATAGCCAAAATTTGATGATTTTTTTTTATATTTGTTTGTCTGGCTGAAAATCGAATTCGTTCGTTATTTCGTTTTTTTCGGTTGATTCAATCGCGATGGATAATGGAATCGATCGATCGATTTTTGTTGTTGTTGTTGGGCAATTGAGGATTTTTTTTCTTCTTCAATAATTTTTTTCTTTCGCTAAGAAGTTTTTCCTTTAAATGGGAATTTCTGTTTTTTGTTTCTGTTTTTGTTTTGTCGCCTCTAAATACACAACCTTTGACCACTATCAGTGGAAATAGAAATCGAACGACAAAATCCGGATTGGCAAAAAACGAAAAAATTCAATGAAATTTTCGGTTCAATTTTTTTCTTATAATGAGATTTTTATTTCTGTTTTTTTTTATTTTTGTTTTTGTTGTTTTCCCACATTCATTCGACCATTCATTCATTAATTCATTGGAAATTGAGCTTTAAAAAAAATCGTGCCTGAATTGAAGATTTCCAGCCAAAAAAAAGAAAGAAAAAATCCAATTTGATTTCGAAAAAAAATAAAACAAATCTCACTCGAAAGAAAAGTATCATTTACCCAATTTGAAAATCGACAAAAAATCAAACGAAAACGAAAAATTCCTATATGAACACAAGAGAAGGTCATCATCATCATCAAAATCATCAGCGTAATCATCCAATAAATTTAGTTTCTTTGTTTTTATTTTGTTTGGTTGTTTCAAAAAAAAAAATTAACGTTATGAAAATTCCCAAAAACAAATCGCAGACCCAAAAGTATTATATTTAAACTGTAAATTTGTGTAATATCAAAAAAAAAAAATTCAATTATCTGTCAAACAACTATAATGTGGCTAATATTTTTTTCTATATTTCAAATGACCAATTATATCAGAAGAAGAAGCTATTAATCACATAAATGTCTCCGAATGACCAACATTAACTGACTGACCAACTTAATATCGCCAAAAAAAAAAAATTTGATCCAAACAGAAAAAATCTCCATTCTGGAATTTCGTTATTCCATTTAGCTCAAATAAATACTTGATTGCTTTTCGAATTCAATTCATTTTCATTTTCAAGTGAGTCTAATCAAGCTCGAAATCTTTTTTTTTTTTGTTTCTGACCAAAGCAATAAATTTTCTTTTTCAATTTAGCTAAAAGAAACGAAGAGAAAATATGGCCCACAAAAAAATGGATTGAAAAACATTATTATTCTAAATGAACAACAGAAAACAAATTCAATCTAATTTAATTAATGAATGTTTTTTTTGGATCGATTTTGCCACTCTTTCTGTGTGTGTTTATGTGAATCGTTTTGTTTTGTTTTGGCTTTTGCAAATTCACACACACAGCATTTTTTTCAGCTCTCATTCAAATTCATTCATTCATTTTTATATGATTTGATCAAGTGGAATGAATTTTTCTGTTTGTTCGGATCATTTTTACATTTCATTCAAAAGAATTTTTTTTTGTTTTTCTCGAAAAACAGAATGGCTTCTCATTTCTTTGGCGTGTTATTTGATATGTGAAAGGAAAAATGGAAAAATGATTTGATTTTCCGAATCAACCTTGCTGTTGTTGATGATGGTGATTATGATTTTGGCCAGCAAAAAATCTGTTTTTTTTTCGGACCAGATCCATGAGAATTGTGTGTTTTTGTTTTTTTGGTTCCGGTCATTTTTTCTTTTTCCAGAAACATTGGAAACAAAAACCAGAAGTTTTTTTTGAATTTCCATTTCTCATTCGTTTTGTTTTGTCATTTTTTTCACAGATTTGTGATTCAAGGTCCCTGGTGAGTTTTAGTTTCATATCTGTATTGCAAATGGAAAATTCATGAAAATTATTCTTCTTATCAAAAGTTACAGTGATATTCTTGATTTCGAAACAACAAACATCAGCAACAATTCAATCCATTGAGACGTTTGTTTTGGTTGTTGTTTTTTTTTCATTGATAATCAAAAAACATCCAGGAATAAATGAATAAATGATTGCGAATGAATATGAATAACAATAACATCGGTCTGGTGTCCAGAGAAAACAAGACTTCTTCTTTGTGAATAGAGAAAAATTTGAAAATCAAAACCCGAAAACAAAACAAAAAAACTTGCAGATGCTCGAAATGTTTGGGATTCTTTCTTTTCGGTTTTTTTCAGGCTAGGTCCGACAGCCAGAAGAATTTTCTTTTCTTTTTTTTTGGATAAATCATTATTATTATTTGGACAATATTATCATTTCGAATGTTGTTGCGAAGTGGCTTTGGCTTTAAAGATGTTATCAAAGAAATTCTTTAACACAAGGTATAATATAGCAATAGTGGTAGCGGTAGAGGTGGTGGTGATTCTTATAATGATAGCGGTAGTAGTAATATTCGAAACTATATACACCGCTATAGTATTGTGATGTGAATTTTGCCGCATCATTTTTTTTTTTTTTTTTTTGGTGAAATTTTGTGTTTTTTTTCACACCCATATTTTTTTGTAGATTTTGATTGAATTCAAAACACACACACAAAACAAAATGAATGAATCAGAATCATGGGTAATCAGTCAATTGGTTTCCTGTTTTTTTTTTTACTTTCAAACAAATTAAAAGAAAAAATCCATTGGAATTCACACACACACAAAAACGCCATCAAATAAAAATGTTGCTAGTTGAAAAATTTTACAAAGCAGAGGGCCTAGGGAAGATGTCCAGACCTAGAGGTTTTAAACAGAATTTTGACGTCTGCAGAGTTTTCTCTCTGGGATTCTGTGCAAAAAAAAATTCTTGTTTTTCTTCATTTGATTATACATTATGTGTGCGATGTGTGATGGAGTCCAACCAAACATCTTTTATGAAAGAAAGAAAAAAATGAATATTATTTTCAGTCGACAAACATCGACAGAAAAACAAAAGTGTCGAGTGGTGATTCGGAATTTCTAACCCAAACACACACACACATCAAGACATTGAATAAAAAAAAGGAATGCTTTGGCCGTTTGATGTGTGTGATGTTTTTGTTTGTTTTTTGACACTTTTTTTTGTTTCGATTTGAGCATTCTGTGTGTGTGTGTATGTAATCTGTGTGTCAAATGTCAAATGTTTGATCGTTTGTTTGTTCGTTTGCTGTAGTGTTTCTGGTTGAAATTCTCGGAAAATTTTCTCCACAATTTTTGTTTCCAACGATAATCAATCAATCATGATCTTCTCTGATTCAATCAATTCTCTCTCTCTCTCTCTCACTTTGAATTTGTGATTAAATCTGAAAAATTAATTAGTTAAAATTAATTAATTGAATTCAAATAATCAAAAAAAAAAAAAGTAAATTTGCTCAATGGTGGAATGTATTGTCTCCACAATATTGACATCGGCAACAACAACAACAACAACAATGAAAATATCAAATTAGAACAGAATTTGACATCATTCATTCATCATCAGAATCCATTATGAAAAACAAGATAAAAATCTTTTTTATTTTTGCATTTTGTGATAAGAAGAAGTGAAAATCAATAAATAGAAGAATATTATATAAAAAAAACATCAACAAAACAAACAAAGATCAAACATGCCATATGTTGTCGAAGAAAACAAAAAATTATTATCATTATCATTAACAACAATATGATGATGATTTTGAATTGGCAAATGTTTTTGGGGCCAACAATCATCATCACTGAATAAGTTTCTTCTTTTTCTTCTTTTGATTCATTAGATTTCAAGTGGAAAATTGTCAATGACGTCGACAACAACAACAACAACAAAAAAAAAACAACAACAAAAACGGCGATCCAAGATGATTGTTCAAGTGTTTGTTGTTGTTATTGGCTGACAACATTCATTTCAACAAATCTTATTGCATCTTGAAATTATCAGATGATTTGATTTTTAATTTCAAATTTCAATTTTTTTTTTTTTGCAAAATCAAATCAAATGAATGTTTGGAAATCAAAAGAAGTAGAAGAAAAAGAAAAAAAAATTCACAAAAATAATCAATGACCAAAATGTGTAAAACATTATTGATGATACAATTAAGTCGTATTTGGATAATATTATTAACATTAATATTTATAATATTAACACAAATGCAAATATTTCATTTAAATCTAATACCATGGCCAAATTATCATTCATTAGTTGCAATAATATTGGATTTAGTTTTGTTGATTGGTTTGATTGCATCTATTATACAACATTTAAAAATGTTAATATTTTTTAGCTGGTTATTAGCATTAACATTTTTGCTCATATTTTTTGGCAATACTGTTTCATCTCAATATCAAAGTGATCTTATTGGTAAGTTTTTTCTTCTTTTTTTTTTCAACCCTTTGCACAATCTTAATCTTTAACTATTTCTACCTCTACCTTTTCTACTCCAGGTATGTACTATTTGTTGGTTATATGTATATTATCATTTACTGATGCTATATGCATAATTAAATACCGTATGCCTTGTGAAGAATCTGCTCATCATTATCATCATTTAAATCATTATCCTCTTGGATTATTACATAATAATAATCCATTATCCACAACAACTACAAATAAATGCTCACCACATCAACATCAACGACAACAAACGATTATCGCTGATTCAACATTATTACCATTACCGCCATTACCATTATCAACATCATCGCCATCAACAATAAAACAACAACAACAACATGGTACACATTCATATCCACCAACACCACCACCGCCACCTTTTTCCAAATCACATCCGCATCATTCGCATACTCATCATACGCATCGTATAAAAACATCATCATCATCAAATATAGCATCACCATCATCACCCCCACCATTACATTTATTACCATCATCATTATTATCATCAACATCGGCACTTAATAAAAGCCATTGTTATGTGCCTAAAAATGATCCACAATTTCATGCTGTTTGAATGAAATTGTTATTGTTGTTATTTTTTTCCCTTGTAAAATAAAATACAATTAAAAATTCAAATTTAAATTCAATTCTGCCATCTAGTAATGATGAATGTTAAAATAGCCTTATATTTTTTTCTTGCGGTCTATTTTTTTTTAAAAAACTTGATAATGATGATGATGATCATCATCATCAGATTGGTTTTTTTTTGGTAAGAATTTATGCTCGGCACATATGTGCTGTTGATGATGATGATGATGATGATGGAATCAGATTCCATAACAGCGGAAAAATTATTTGGAGCATGCAACATTGAAACAAAATATAACGGGAAAAAAAATTCCTGTGCGCGTTTGTGTGCTACCTCCACATCCAAACACACACACACACACACACACAGAATTTATATATAGAGAGAAAATATGCTTTTTTTTCTTGAACATATTGGGTTCCAAAAGGAAAGCAAATTCCAGAATCAGAATTTGAATAAGGTTGAAGAAATGATGATGATGATGATGGTGTTTTGGTCAATGACGACGACGAATCACGATTTATTATTTTGACATTTTTGTTTGATTGTTTGTTTGTGGAACAAATTCTGTTTGTTTTGTTTTTTCGTTTTTTTGTTTGTTGATCAATCAATTTGTGGGTGTGATTTGAATGTCGATTGGATTGATTGATTGATTTTCGTTCGAAGAAAACATCAGCAACAATAAACATTGTTGAATTGCAAAATGGATAATGATCGATCAGAATCGAGAATGACAAATGTACGATTTAAAATTCGTTTAGCATTGCTAATTCTGATCATATTTATGTTGATAACAATAATATTGGCCATTATTTTTGTAATGATTTTTTGGAAAATTAATAATCAACAGCAGAATTTGGATTCGAATGTTCAACAACAACAACATTCGAATTCGAATGGTAAACGAGGTGAGCAGCAAATTGAAATTCTTAAATTGTTCAAGATTAAAATTCTTCATTGTCATTCCAGGAATCATTTTAATGTTAACATTCATTGCCATCATTTATTTGATCGGTTTATTTGGCTTAATTCGTTCGAATCTTTCGATATTGATATTATTTGCTACAATCAATATAATATTGGCTACAATTTGTTTGATTATGAATCCGGATCATCATTATTCTTATCATTATTATGATAATGGCTTACCATCACCAAAATTATCACATAATTGGGTAGCATCGATTGCATTCATTTTGACATCAACATTGACTATTGTTTACGTTGTTATTCAATATTTTCATCGACGATATTTAAAATTTAATGGTTCAAATAAGAACAACAGCCAACAAATTATTCGACAACGTATTTTACGACAATCATCCGATGACAATAATCATTATTATCATCAAATTGGCCAGAATAATGATGATGAATCCGATAATGAAAATGAAGATGATGATGCTCAAAATTTATTCGGAAACAAAAAACCAAAAAAACCATGTACCATTATTGTCGATATAGTCGATTCGAACGATTTAGATAATGATGATGGTTGTCATCGAACATTATTATTACAGAATTCGGAACATTCGAATAAATCATTATCAACAACAACGTTAGGAAATTTTCGTTCAATTCTTTAAGAGTTTTTTCTTTTTGTGAAATCCGAAAAAAAACTATAAACAAACCAAACAAAAAGATTTGTTGATTTGTTATTACTGAAATTCTCGATATATAGCCGGGAAAATATTTCGCGGAAAACAATTTGCCCAAAAAGAAAACTTTCTTGGCAAATTAAAATTGGACAACCTTTTTTTCATCATGAAAATTCTTTTGGAAATAATTTCATTCATTTATATGCACTCTATTTGTTTATTCGTTTGCAAAGAAAAATAATAATTTTGATCCATAATCGATGTATACAGATGTACCGAATATATCGATCAATCGATTGAACGTATATTTCAAAATGATGATGACATTGTGGTTGCCAATGACATATTGTGTTATGGTATGTATTGAATCTGCATGTAGGCGTATGTGATGTATATTTTATGAAAATAAATATTTTAATATTAATAATTTATGTTGATAACTATAGCGACATCATTTTATCGTCTGCAAGTTTATAAACTTAAATTGAATGAATAAAACGGTATAACACACAGTGTCGATTTCAAAGGATCATCATCATCATCATCATCGCCATTGAGCTTTGAATCAAATAAAAATTGTACGTGTTGAATGTGTGCGTGTGTGATATGCATTTTTTTTTACTTAACGTTTTTTTAATATTATCATCAACAATCAACATTCATTGAATCATATACCAGGCGATAAGATCAAAACAACACTTTGAACAAAACGTTTATTTTTGTTATCATCAAAAGTTTCTTTTTCTCATTTTCACATCGGTTTTTTTTTGATTTCATGTGTTACCCTTTTTTTTTCTCTCTCTCTCTTTATCTCGATATAGATCATCATCATTGTTGTTGTTGTAAGATTGCATTTGATATTTCCATAGCAAGTTTTAATTTTCTTTCTTTTTTCTGTTCTAGGTTTGAAATTTTATTAATTGAAAAATTGTTTGCAATTGTAAATATACACAATGTCCAGTCAAATGTTTGCTCAACAATCACCTGTACGACAATATCTGCCATGGATTTGTACATCATTGGCTATTGGTTATGCAGCTTACATACATTGGCGTTCACGTTGTCAACGAAAAAAAATACAAATAAATTCGGATAAAAAACATGCACGAAGTTGTGAGGTTAATATTGATGATATTGATCGAAGTAAGTTTTTTTTAGTCAAATTAGTTTGCCATATTACATTTTACAGAATGAAATAATACAGACACAAATAATATGCATGCATGATGATCAATCAAATTATTGCTGCTTAACGTAGATCCACCCATAAATGATTTTTCAATTGATCAAGAAAATTTTATTTTGCAAAAAAAAATCGAATCCTTGAATATAAATTAGATCGAAAACCAGTGAATAATGAAATGGTTTCGGGTGAAATTAATTTTGATGAATATGAAGAATATCTAATTGAAATCGATGAAGAAGAAGAAGAACAAGAACAAGATGAAGAATTGGATGCTGATTTAAATTCGAATAACAACGAACAACTAGAAATAAATCAAAACATTAACGTTGATAATATTGTAAAAGAAGTTAAATTTGATGATAAAATTATTCAAATTGAACCAAAATTATTGAAAGAACGTCGTGAATCTACAGAAATCAGTTTGATTCATCAATCAAATATTGTTGACCGTAAACATCAACAAAAACAATCAACACAACCATTAAAACGTAAACGTTATAGTTTAAAAGGAGATATAGATGATCTTGCATTTGATATATTTTGTTTTGATGAAATGCCTACCGTTCGACAAGAATTTATTGATAACAAAATCATTGATGATGATGATGATGATGATTTGAATGAAGCAATTCTTGATGAATTATTACGACGATGGCGTCATCTATCAACCGATTTGAAAGAAGAATATCTTTCAAAAGCAGTATCAGAATCATCCATGCAATGAAACAATTTTTACATACATTCAAACACATAATAAAACATTGTAGCTTAGCTTAGAATTGAATTTGTTTTGATTTTATGTTTTATTTTTTTTCATTAGAAAATTTGTAACTTTTTTTTAATTTTTTGAAAATTTTATTTCATTTTTTTTTTGCTTTTGCTTTTGCCCGAATAAGATCAAACAAAAAAGAAAATTTCCTATTGTCGTTGTTGGAAATCGGAAACATTTCCACTTTGTGATGGTGGTCATAAATGTCATAATCGTGAAAATGATGATAGTGTTGGTCCATTGAATCTTGTATGGCGTGATGATAATGTTGTTGAATCTGGTGATGCAACAACAACACAGGCTGCTACCGATCCAACACGTCAAACCGAATCAAAATCACCAATCAACGATCCAGATATGGATATTAAATCTATTGATTCATTAGAAAGTGATCATTCACCAATATTAGGTGTTTCGGGTTCAGCTAACGGTTCAAATGGAAGTGATGATTTTGATGATCAATTGGTTAAAATTGATAGTAATGCTGCTGCTGGATCATCATCATCATCGAACAACAAAAATAATGCTGATGTAACAACAACTACATCCACACCAAATAGATCATCAAATATGAATGATGATGATGGTCATCATAACAATAATACAAATAATAATAGTAATAATTTAACGGATGAACAATTAAGTTCATTGGAAATGATTGATGATGATAATAATTTTACTACAGTCAATAATGATAATGATGGTCAACAACAACAATCCACACCATAGCATTTTTTGTTTTATTTTGTTGTTTCAATTTCATCACTCGTTCTGTAAATCAATCAATCAATCAATCCAAAATCAGATTTTATCAGAAAAACTTTTTTTTTTAATTAATTAATTCAAAATGAAAAAAATAAAATAAAATAAAAAATGAAAAAAAAAATTGAATTTGAATATTTGAAATCGATGGATTTATTGATTGATTTGATTAATCTGATCCGAATGATTGATGATTCATTTTTATGGAATTTTTATTAAACGCCCGCATTTGTTTGTTTGTTTGTTTGTGTAAAATGAAGAAAAAAAAATTGACTTAACATCATCGATATCTGTTCTGTTTGAAATTCGTTATTGAATCGTGAATTTAAAAAAATGAATTTTCAAAAAAAAAGTAGAAGAAAATAAATAGAAATAATTATATGATCATCATGTGTTTGTAAAGTTTCAAAAAATAAATAATATGCTTTGTCTATGGAATTTTGTTTTTTTGGTTCAGGGAAATAGTTTCGGATTGAGATTATTTTATGAACAAAAAAAATTTTTTTTTTTTTGAATATCGTTCGCTTAATATTTTTGATTGATTTAGTTTTGTTTCAGATTCGGTTTCTTTGTATGTCATTTTCATATTTTCATTCAAGATATTGGTCCAAGACATTGTTTAATTTTGGGTTAGCAAGAATATTTTTTACATTTAGTCATATCTTTACTTAGTGCACCATTTTTAAATACGGTCATCTTTTTTTCCATCCATTGTGGGGCAATATTTTCAACGACCCTAATTTTTTTGTTTTGTTTTGAAAATCAATTAATAAATACAGGTCAATCAATATCAATCAACTTTTGAAAACTTACATCAACAAAGCACTACGTCCACGTACATCACTTACAGCATCGCTAAAAAAAAGAAAGAAAGAAAAAAAATTATTTATAAAAAAAACGATTAATATTAATTTAGGGAAAAAAAGGTCAATGTCTTTGATTATCAATGATGAATGATGATCATGAAAAAAGATATTGATGATGGCGGAAGATTATCTCCCTGTTTGTAATGTGTGTGTGTGTGTATATATAATGAGTAAATCCAGTTTTTAATCAGTTTGATTTACCCGAATGACCGGATACCTCGTTTTTTGTTTCTCCCCACCAATCATAGTCGATGTATGGTTATATGTATTCAGGCTATTTTTAGGTGGCAAAAAAAAAAAAAATCTAATCTTTTTTTCTAATCAATTAATCGGACATCGAGCATCATGATCTAATCAGACTTTTCAGTCCCTGTATGAAGGGAAACACTATTAACTAACTATATTTGTCCTTTCAAGAAAAAAAACTAGATCATGACCAACTTGTTATCATCATAATTTTTTTACCAAAAAAAAAACTTACCCAAGTTCACAAATCATACGATTCATACATTCTTCTTTTTCCATTGCTTTGTTATACATTTTATAATAGGCATCCATTTTTTCAATATATGATGAAAATGGTGAATCATCAATTGAACGTTTAGTTTTGGTTGTTGTTGTACCTAAATTAGTCATTGTTGGTAATAATAAACTAAGACCAGCAATCGCTAGAACAGGCATCAAAATTGAACTAAGACCATATTTTTTTAGACCGGATGCTAATCCACCACTAGAAACTTCGGTTGATTGTGGTTGTAAAGCACCACCTGCACCACCACCGCCACCAATACCTTGACCATAACCAGCAAATGAATGTTGTCCCGAACCATATGGTGATCCTTGTGCAAATGCTAAATGTCCTTGTGAATAACCAGGATGAATTTGTTGTGCTAAATGACTGGATGCTTCAGCTTGATTACCATATGCAGCAGCCATATTTGCAGCAGCAGCATTAGATTCATATGAACCAGAAGGATTATTAAAATATTGTTGTTGAAATTGTTGTGCCAAATTACTTAATGTTTGTGCATCAAAACCATTTTGTGATGATTGTGATTGATAATCATTATGGCTTAATTCCGGTGCACTATAGCTGATTTCCGAACCAGAAGCAGCAGCATCCATTGGACCACCACTGCCATGTTCAATATTTTCATGAGCAGCACCAGAATTTGGATGACCCGATGAAATCATTTGTGCATGACCATATTGGCTTGATGATGATGATGATTGATCTTTTGATTTTTGATCTTGTACCGGATAATAATAATAATAAAGATTCGATTGAGATCCTTGCGGTGATTGTTGTGATTGTTGACCATTTGAAACATGTTCATGTTGCATTTGTTGATTAGTGATTGTATTTAGGCTTCCGCCGCCACTATTAACACCATTACCAACACCACCACCACCACCACCATATTGATTTGACATTGAATATTGACCATTTTGATTCGATTGATGATAAACAGGTTGATTACCACCACCACCGCCAACACCTAATAACATTGATTGACCATCATCAGATTTTTTTGTTATAGCATCAGTAATTATTATGCTGAATGCTGAAATAACAATCAATATGATTGATGTATGTTTGATTTTCGTTTTTGTTGTCATTTTGATTATTTATATTATCTTGATAATATCGATTGTTGATAATTTTTTGGCCACGAATGATTTTTTTTCAAAGAAAAAAATCACGAATAAAAACAAAAGATAATGATGATGATGATGATGGCCAAAATTTGGCAAACAGATTATGTTTGTTATATAAAAAAAATTGAACCAAAGATGAAAAAAATGAAATTTTCTTTGAAGTTTTTTTTTTATCCAGAAAAAAAACAGATGTTTTGGCACTTGGAACGAAGACAAAACGAAGACTGCGATTCAATGAATGGTTTTGAATTTACAAACACCAAAAAGAAATTTTTTTTTCTTTTTTGTTGTTGAAAAATAAAAATTCAAATTGTAAATCGAATCAAAACGAAACGAAACGAAACGGTATCATTGAATACTATCAAACGGGAGACTCTTTTCATCGAAAGAAAAGAAAAAAAATTGAAATTGTAGGTTGATCATCAAGGTAAATGAAATGAACAAACCAACCAAAAAAAAAAATATTGACCAAAATGGTGGAAAAAAAGGCGGATCTTTGTCGAAAATGTCGAATATCAGGTCGCTTGAAGCCGATGGTGAAGAAGTAAACTGTTTTAAATGAATATAAAAAAACGGTATTATTTTTAGCATCTTGTTTTCTCTCTCTTACCGTTAATATTTTCTTCTTTGAAAAAAAAACAGATTTCATCATTGACCATAAACTTTTTTTTTTGGTTTTGTTTTGTTTTTGGCTGTGTTATCGTCGATCGTCATCGATGGTAATCGAGTTTTTTTTCTCTCGCACTAAATTCCAATTTGATTCAATCACTGAAGATGATGTCGATAATTTTTTCGATGATTATTAGGGCCATTTCGAAAGCATAAAAAAGATGAATTGAATGGCGGAATATTAACAAAAAAAAAAAAAAAAAAAAAAAATAAAAATGAAAATTCATTATAATCTTCTGTAGCATTTTTTTCAAAAATTTTGTTTTGACATACTTTTTTNAAACGAAGACTGCGATTCAATGAATGGTTTTGAATTTACAAACACCAAAAAGAAATTTTTTTTTCTTTTTTGTTGTTGAAAAATAAAAATTCAAATTGTAAATCGAATCAAAACGAAACGAAACACGGTATCATTGAATACTATCAAACGGGAGACTCTTTTCATCGAAAGAAAAGAAAAAAAATTGAAATTGTAGGTTGATCATCAAGGTAAATGAAATAAACAAACCAACCAAAAAAAATATTGACCAAAATGGTGGAAAAAAGGCGGATCTTTGTGTCGAAAATGTCGAATATCAGGTCGCTTGAAGCCGATGGTGAAGAAGTGAACTGTTTTGAAAGGAATAAAAAAAACGGTATTATTTTTAGCATCTTGTTTTCTCTCTCTCTCTCTCTCTTACCGTTAATATTTTCTTAAACAGATTTCATCATTGACCATAAACTTTTTTTTTTTTTTTGGTTTTGTTTTGTTTTTGGCTGTGTTATCGTCGATCGTCATCAATGGTAATCGAGTTTTTTTCTCTAGCATTTGATTCAATCACTGAAGATGCTGTCGATAATTTTTTTCGGTGATTATTAGGGCCATTTCGAAACCATAGATGGATGAATTGAATGGCGGAATATAAAAAAAAAAAAATCAAAATGAAAATTCATAATAATCTTCTGCAGTATGTCTTCTGCATTTGTTCAAAAATTTTGATTTGACATACTTCTTTGGTTTTTCGGGTAATCTTTGATGATTGATTAAATTTGAATTTGGAAAAACCAAACATAAAACATTGGCCATCAAAAAAAATCGGTTTATCGATGATGATGATGGTTGTCATTTTTTTTCTTTTTTTTTGGTGGGAAATTAACCATTAGTATCTTCACCGTCGTCGTCGTCGTTTTTTTTCTCGGATAATTAAAAATAACTTGCTTGTACTTGTGTGTAGACTTGACACATTTTTTTTTTGTTTGAAACGAACCAAAAAAAATAATCGAAAATTCAATCGATTTGATCATCATCATCATTCAAAGATTATTAAACAACATGGTCAAGTGTGTTTGACCGTTTTTTATTTTTTCTACCGAAAAGTTAGTTTCCAACCGATGTTCAACCAATATTGCTAAAAATAGCATCAAAAAAAAAATTAAATAAATATTATTTTTACAAATAACATTTACACAAATTATAGAAAAAAAGAGATGGCCTCATAAAAAATTTTTTTCTGTTCGAATAATCGTTTGTTCGTTCGATCGATCTATCGATAGTGTGTATCCTTCTCTTAAAAAATAAAAACATACCCAAACAAAACAAAAAAACAAAAAAAATCAACCTAAACATAGACCTTGACCTTCGAAAAGCAATCTTGAATCTTGAATCGATCGATCGATTGATTGATTGATCAAATTGGGCCAAAATAACCTCTCTCTCTCAAATAAGAACCTGTTGACCTGTTATATGTTTGGTGTGATGATCATGATGATGATAATTGTGAACGACATTGCGGAAAAAAAAACATTTATTATTTACCTTGATTTCTTTTCTTTTTTTTTTCAACAACAACAACACCTGTGACTGGTTTTTCGTTGGTTGGTTGGCCGGCTGACTGAAAGATTGTGAAATAATGATAACGGTCGTTTGAAAAAAAATAAATGTTTTCGAAGAAATTTTTTTTGATTTTCGTTTTGGTTTTTCCCATCGTACATATATCGAAATATAAATTGATGGTTGATTCATTTCCGCATTCCAATGGAATCTTCGTCGAATCGAATCAATTAATTTTTTTTTTATTTGTCTGTTCAACATTGACGAGGTGATATGTTCAGATTTTTTTGGATACAAACCATTGGTCATTCAACTTTCGGTTGGTGGTAATGATATTGTTGTTGTTACACATCGACCAAGGTAATCGAGAAAAAAAAAATACCAAAACAGCCAAGGAGAATGTGTCTTGTTTTTTTTCACAATCACCATCACCATCATGATCATCATAAACATGACCATCATAAAATCGTTTGATTCGAATCTGGACGATTTTCAGGTCATCAGGTTTTTTTTTAAATAAAATATTTCTGTTTCTTCACCAAATTACCACTCGGAAAAAAAAACACCTGAAGGAAATAAATCAGAAACAATAGTGACATCTATCCGGTGAAACATTAAAGAATCATTCGAAAAAAAATACCAGATGGCGCTGGTATTACTATTTGAAAATCTTTTTTTTTCCATTTTTCAAATTAGTAAAAAACAAAAATCCATTTTGATGAAGCCAATTCTTATTTTTTTTTCTTTCTTGTTTGTCTTGTCTACATGTTCTACAAGATTTCAAGATTTTAATAATGAAGAAAAAACGAAGAGAGAAAATGGATTGGATTTCATATCGATAGTGTAATGACCAAACTTATTGTTAAAAAAAATGAAACGAAACACGAAACAGAATCGAAATTCTGTTGTTCAAAAATCCAGAATCCAGAATCGAAATGAAAATCGACAAAAAAAAAATAAGACGCCGGATCGTCTTGACAACAGTAACAACAACACAACAGAAACAGAAACAAAATACACAAGCGAAAAACTCTAACATTTTTTTTGTTTTCGTTTTTGTTTTCAATGATCATCATTCAGTTGATGGTTTCCATGGATTTTCGTTTCGTTTCGTTTTTTTCATATACTTTTTTCTTCTTCTTTTCTCTCTCTATGTGTAGATCTGTCATAAACATATGACTCCCAGCAACAACAACAACAACAACAACAACAACATTACAAATTACAAGTTACAAATTACATTCGGATACGGATTCTTCGTTTTATCATCATCATCATTTATTTATTCATTTTTAAAAAAATATCGATAGTATCGATAATCAACATCGATTATGATTCCATCATTTTCAACCATTGATGAAAACAATGATAATGATAATTTTCAATTTCATGTTGATAATAATGATAATCAAACAATACGTCTTATACAACCAGAAATATGGCAAAAATCTCAAACATTACAAGAATTGATTCATTTATTTTTGGAAAGTATGTTTTTCAATGTTTTTCCTGTTTGTTTCAATTGATTTTTTTCCATTCATTTCATTTGCCAAAATCGCAGAAAATGATGATTTTAAAAAAATTGTTTCGAATTTTGTACAAACATTGAATATGGTTGGCGAAATGATTGAAAAAGAAAAGATAAAGGTAAGAATGTTGTTTGGACGCACACAGCGAATAATACACTGAATCGATACACAGAATCGATGTCTCTTGGGTGAAATTTTGTTACTGGAAATGATGCAAAAAAAAAGAAAAAAACATAAAAGTAAATCGAAAATCATCAATCGTAAATCGACGCAATATTGATTGATTGATTGTCATCAATTTTTTTGTTTTGTTTTGTTTATTTTTGATTGCCAAAACTATAATAAAAATTCTTCTTCTTCTTCTTCAGTTCTTACTACCTTTACCAAGAGAATAACTTTACAGTAAGATTTACGAACTTTAGATCAATTTTCTTTGGCAATCAAATCAGACAAATAAAAAAACATCCAAAGTATATATACATTGTGTGTGTGTGTGTTAGTTTGTTTTTAAGTTTGACTTTTTTGTCTTTCAATAGATCGATAGATCAATTATTTATTTATATCGCGATATATCGATGTTTAAGAGGTTTTGTTTTTTTATTCTGTTGTTGTTTCGATTGATATTCTTTGAGTTGATGAAGAGAGAGAGAGAGAGAGAGGTCAATCTATTTTTTGTTTTCATATTATTTACGAATAATGAAATGCAAAAACAGAAAGAAAATAATGTCATAAAATGATTGATCAACACACACAATATATTAGTTGATAGAAGTTAGTTTGTTTGTCAAACAACAAACCAAATAACAAATCAAAATTACAAATATGGTAAAAAATTTCACATTCATATTTCTCAATTTGTATTTTATTTTTTATTATTTTTTTTTGTAGCTTTTTTTTCCGTTGTCTATCTAACTTAATTATAGTTTATTTCCAAACATACATTTCATTCTTTTTTTTCAAAAATTGTCGATTCAATCCATACAGGAGAGAAAAAAAAGGGTTAAACATTTTTCGATTCTTCATTATTCTTCTTCTGCAATGAAAAAACCAAAAAATTTTCAAAATTTTCCCTCCTTCCCTTCCATTTTTTCCAATGATCAATGAGGATTATTTTCCAAATAATAATTTGTCATTTTGTAATTACATATAATTTTTTGAATGTGACCTTTATTTCCTCTTGATTATGGATAATTAATTATCATTTTTTTCTTGTTTTCTTTGGGTTTTTTTCCTTGGGAATTTTTTTTTTTTTTTTTTGGATCGCATAACGACGAAAACAACGATATCACGACAATATAAATCGACAACCACGATATTACGACAATCGACAATGAAACACACCGATGAAACAATACATAGGCAATTGGATCTCGTTCATTGATTAAAGCATTAGAAATGAAACGTGATTCATTACGTGAACAATATCGTAATATGATACGAGAGAAAAAAATTGAATACGAAAGGTTTGTTTTATTCATTTACTAGCCCCAAAATGAGATTAAAACATTTCCACATTGATCCTTATTTGATTCCAAAATGATAATTATCAATCAATCAATCAAAAAGCTTAACGGCCCATTTAGGGCCATTGCTTCTACAACAATAATTTTCCACCGTTCTCTGTCATCCGGGATATTCGATGAAAGTGGTCGGCCAAGTTGTTCCAGGTCCTTTTCCACGCTGTTCCGCCACCTCTCCTTGGGTCTGCCTCTGCCCCTGGAACCGGCAGGTTTATAGTTGAACGCCTGGTTCAGCAGCCCGTTGTTTCTCCAAACGTGGCCCATCCATTCGATTCTTTTTCCCCTGACGTATCCCAAGATACTTGTACGCCCAAAGCGTTCGTACAGGTCCGCGTTGTGCCTTCTTTCGAATTGATTGGATACCGGGTTGAAGACGGGCCCAAATATTTTCCTGAGCACTTTGCGTTCGAATACTGCTAGCATTCTCATGTCGCCTTTGCAAAGTGTCCAGGCCTCGCAGCCATACGATAAGACTGGCCTAATGTAAGCGAGGTATAACCGGATTTTTGACTGGTGGGACAATAACTTAGATTTGAGCGTTCTCTCGAGACCATAGTAACACCGGTTTGCACATTTGATTCGTTCCCTGATTTGTTGATGTGCATCTCTCGTGTTGTTCAGGGTTACGCCCAAATATTTGAAATCACTGGTTTCTTGGAAGTTGAATCCTCTCACCTCCATGACGTGAGAGGCCTGGTAGTTTTTGTTGGTTTTTGACCCGTTGATCGTTAGGAATTTAGTTTTTGATTCATTAACGATTAGTCCAACTTCACTGGCGGCATCAATAAGTTTTTCACATGTCGTTTGGACTAATTGCATCGTTGTACCGGTGATGACGATGTCGTCGGCAAATGCCAGAATTAGTGGTGAATTTTGATCGATCACGGGGTTTACCAGGTTCGCCTTACGCATTGCGTACTCCAAGACCAGGTTGAAGAGGGTGGGAGCCAATGGGTCTCCCTGCCTGAGGCCGTTTTTAACCGGGAAACTATTCGATTGCGATTTCATGCACTTGACTTTACATGTGGTGCTATCATAGCACGCTTTTATCAATTTTATGAATTTAACCGGGATGCCGATACTTGTCAAGGCGTGCCACATTGATTCTCTGTGAATGCGGTCGTAGGCTTGTCTGAAATCGATGAATAGCGCCACTGTTGGTATATTGAATTCGTAGTTTTTTTCTATTATTTGACTAATGGTGAATATATGGTCGAGGGTTGATTTGGCTCTACTGAAACCACATTGATATTCCCCGACGATTTCCTTGGTATAAGGTTTCAATTTGTTGTTCAATAGGCTCGTGAAGATTTTGTATCCCACGTCAAGGAGCGATATTCCTCGGTAATTTGCCGGATTTGTTTTATCGCCCTTTTTGAAGATAGGAATGATGGTTGCTGATTTCCATTCATTAGGGATCGTTTCATTTCTCCATATTGTTGAAATTAATTTGTGGATTTCAGCTGTTAGTGACTGATCGGCTTTTTTGATTAACTCAGCCACTATTAAATTATCACCTGGAGCTTTATTATTGCACAAGGATTTTATTGTATCACTGACATCCTCAAAAGATGGTTCCTCAATCCACTCTTCGGTGGTTTCTATGGCAGGAGGAACTGGTATGAGGGTATCGTCTGCGTTTAGTAGGCTGTCGAAATGTTGTTTTAGGACTTCCACCACATTTTCTGGACCAGCTACCAGCTGGCCTTGTTGATTCGTTAGCATTGTTGATTGCTGGTTGAATGGCTGTTTGACTAGATTACATGCTTGGAAGAATTTGCGGCTGTGGTGGCGGTTGTCCTCTATATCGGCTATTTTCTTCTTTTCGTAAGCCCTTTTTGTTGTTCTAGTTATTTTGTTGGCTTTCTTTTTTAATTCGCTGTATCTTTGGCGGCTGATTGGATCGTCGTGTTGTAGCAGATGATGGTATGCCGAATTTCGGGCTTTAATTGCTTCTTTGCAGACATCATCAAACCATGCCTGCGTTTTTATCGGTTGTTTTCTACTGATGGTTTCATCTGCAGCTTTTTGGATGGATGAGACGATTTCGTCCCATTGTTTTGGTTGATCGGACTCAATATGTTGCTTTGATTTGACTATGTATTCTTGAGCCACTTGGTCAATTTTTAATTTGTCTACGTCGAATCTTTGTTGGTCATCACGTTGTTGTTTAGAGGACCATTTCTTTAGATAACGTTGTTTTATGGTGGCTCCCACCATATGGTGGTCTGTGTCGAATGCCACACCCCGGTATGTCCGGACGTTTTTGACGAATTGTTTGTGGTTGTTATCTATTAGGATATGATCAATTTGATTGCGGGTTCTCCCGTCGGGCGATGTCCATGTATACTTATGGATTCGTTTTCTCGGGAAATACGTTGAGATTATTGTTTGGCCCTTGGCTGTTGCGAAATTAGCTAATCTTTGTCCATTCTGGTTGCTTTCATCATGTAGGCTGTCCGGTCCAATTGTTGGCCGGAGGAACGCTTCTTTGCCTACTTGGGCGTTGAAATCACCTGCGATAATTTTGACCATGTTATTTGGGATTTCGTCATACACCCTTTCTAGCTCATCATAAAACTGGTCCTTTATCTCTTCGTCTTTTTCTTCTGTAGGGGCGTAGCAGTTGATAATGCAAATATCTATCGGTTGAGCTCTTAGTTTGATTAGGCATATTCTATCGTTGACCGGTTTGAAATCTCTGACAGCCTGTAAGATTTTGTTGTTTACGGCGAATGCCACACCATGGCGTTGACGGTTGTTATGCTCACCACGTGCTCGTTGAGTTGAGTCATTGTTTACATTTTGTGGGCCACTCATAAACAAAGTGACGTTACCAATTCTCATTATTCCCGAATCGGGTAATTTTGTTTCCTGTAAGGCGATTATCGATACATTTTTGTTTGAGATAGAGTTGACAAAGTCGTGGATTGCACCGGTTTTGAAGAGCGTTCTAACATTCCATGTTGCTATGTTGATATATTTGCCGATACGTTTCTTTGCGCTGTTACCGATATTATTGCCATTATCACTATTATTATCATTCGGGCACCGGGTATTATCACTGGGGAGTCGACATACTGCTGGAGAATCCGAGAGAAGTCCGTTGTTGTCCGTAGTCGGTTCAATATTGTTGTTTCCAATTAGGCAGGTCCGGTTTATTCTTATTGTTGTAGCTGTAACGATGGAGTTTTTACATGGTCGGAGTGTTAATCCTAGACGCACAACCTCTGTAACCGAGAGGATCGGGACTCGTGTTTTAGCTGGATATAAAGGATGGTCTTCACGCCTTGGGTGGCCCTACCAGGAGTAAAAACTCCAGACGTACTTCTTCCATCCAATCCAGGAACACCTGCTCGCCACGATGAGGCACACGACGTCACCAGAGCAAG